TACTGACATGCCATTTATTTATGTGTTTTGCAATTTGTACAGTAGCAAAAGTAATATCAAGAACTTCCTGCCTAGCTCTAGTAGCGAAGGTTGGATTACAGCCTTTATTAAGTATTTGAAGGTCGTTAGCTAGGAGAAATTCTAAAAGTAACTCACCTCTTTTGTTGGTACCAGTACTTCCCCAGATTGTGTGATGGGCGTTTGCATCGCAGCCAACAATTAGTTCTGTCTTGTGTTTTCGAGCGTAGTCGACGACTTTAGACAGTTCTTCGGTGGGGTTGGCTTTCTCTCCGGGCAGGTAGGCCGAGCACACGAGTGCTCTAGTTTGACCACGCCCTCTGAGAACGGTGATTGCAGCAACGGTGTCATCACTGCAAAGTTCTGTAACAGGCAAGAAATTAATACCTTTCTTAAAAACGATACAGGCCCTAGGCTTGGTGCCATTTTCGTTTGCTAGGATCTTACCTACTCCATTTAAGCCCGAGATCTTGGACTTGGCGTTAAGCCATGGTTCCTGGACCAGCGCTATATCCATGCCATTTGCCCTAAAAGTGTTTTCTGCCACGGCTGTGGCAGCGATGGCGTGGTGTAAATTGGCTTGGAGTATTTTAGTGGGGGCGTCGCCAGTTGGGTGTGAAGCGCTACTGGGGACGGGCCCCATTGCGCTTGTCACTGCCCTTGCTGGGTCTGGGTCCCTTTTGTTTACGGGGGCGCTGGCTCTTGCCTCTGGGGGTTTGTCCACCCCTGATGTGCCCCCCTGTACGAGGAAACCTGTGCGGAGTACCAGTCGCTCCGCTGGTCCCGGCCACAGGAGCCACGCCAGGTGCAGCAGATGGTAAAGGCGCAGCAATGCTGGCGTTTGCTCCAGCAGCCGCGGCCCCAGAACGAGAGGTAGACGGCACAGGTTCAGAGGGAAGTGTCCCAGGATTCGTTGGCGTCTGGTTGATGCCCTTAATACGGAATTGGACCGATTTGAAAGCCAAGTAGGCCTTCATGCCGGTTTTTTGAAGGGTCTCAACAGATTGGTCGTCGATGGAGAGGGTGAGTGTGATTCCGCCCTTCTCCGCCTTCCTATTGAGAACCTTCCACAGCTCCGTATTAAGTCCATCATTTTGTATCCGGAGACAGGAGAGCGCCTTATCAACGTCTTTGGACTCCGGATCAGGAATGTATACCACCCCAACCTTCGGTTTGGGCAAGTCGCTCTCATTAATGAGAGCGAGCTTAGCTCCTGGCCACGGCTGTAAAGAAGGTATGCATTTATCAAGCCATTCCCTGGCATGCTGGTTAGCACAGGTGATGAGAAGCCAGCCTGGCTTGAATGATAGTCCGCCAAAGGCAGGTCCCTTACCCTTCTCCAAAGTAGTGATTTGGGCCACAATTGCGTTGTAAAGTGACTGCAGCTGTGCGTCAGTCATGGGAGTGGAGTCCCTCACGCCAACTTTGGAGGAAGATAAGGCCGCACTATAGGCAGCTGGAGGTGGTGGGGCCGACGGTGCTTCGCTCGACTTTTGGGACTTCCTCGCTGGTTGTCCCTGTGGTGATTCCTCCTCCGAGCGAGTCCTTTTGATGGAGCGCTCGGATTCGGGTTTCGAAGCATCGAAACGATACCCCATAGCCCTGAGTTCCGCAAAGGTTTTAGCGGACAGTTCGTAGGCTTTTGCAGCCTCCACTCCCTGTCCCCTAAGAGCCTTAAGTCGGATTAAGGCTGCCCCACTCAATCTTTTACGTTTGGGTCGGGCAGCATCAGAGGAGGTGGCAGCAGGGTTACCAGTAGGTGATTTAGGGCTTGTAGAAGCCCCTATCGCCATTTCGGTGCCTGCAGTCACCTCCATTGGTTGCGCAGACATTTGGGCGGTTTCATCCGCACCCATTGTCAGCGGCATGAGGTCCTGGCACAATTCGTCCAGGGTTTGTGACGTGGTAACGTCATTTAGTTTTCTATTATTTTGTTCCATACTCATTTAGGTCCCACGAGTAGCTAGGGAAATAAAAATGCCCACCGACAGAGCCCCGCATGTCGATGGGAGGACTTAAAATACTATCCGATTCGTCCAGGTGTCGGATAGCCACCGTTAGCGACTGAGCTCCCCCCCAGCCACGCATCCCTCGGCACGGTACGAATGACACCTTGGATTGGGTTCTAAACTAAAGCTATACATATACGTACATATATATTTCATAGACATACTTACATAAACATACATAAACATACATATATAAATAAAAGTGAAAGCAAGCGCTCGGTGTTTTCTGTTGCGTCTATTTCCTAGTGAACTAGACCAATAACAGGGCTGGCAACCTCGTGAAGGATAGTACACCGAACTTGCCTTGGGGATCTTTGCGACAAAAGCGTCACTCTCCCCCAAGACCAACGCCACCCCACCGTCTCTGAAGGAGACAGTAGGGTAGGCCTGCGCCTACACTACCATGCGAAGCATGTCGTAAGGGAACCGTGAAAGCATAGATCCAGGCCCGCCCCAATAAATTACTTACCAAGGGACGCACCAGAGCGAAGTGAGGATAAATCGCTAGTTTACAATAAAAGAAATACAATAAAATTACAAATATAGTGAGTAATGTTGCCAGACATACATAATATGTATCTACTCGTTTATACAGAGTGAAACACACAAACGGGACATGAAACACAAGTAGGTACAAGTTTATATTAAAGATGTTAAATTTGACTCAAACGAATCTCTCTTGATTTTCTTCTAAATCAAGAATCACAAGAAAGAAAGAAAAAAAATAAAGAAAAAATTACAGTAAATAAAATAAAATTACAAGAAGCACTGGCAAAACATAAAAAAAATTAAGATACTCATGTTACTTTCGTTTGTTCCTTGTGGCTTGTACACTTATCATATTTCGTTAAAACCGTGAATTCATTAGCTTACTTAGCTTTTGCTGGTTAGTACAAAAGCTACTGAAATGGTCGCTCGTCAATCAAACGGACGGACAGAACGCTATCGGCATAAATTACTCACTCAGCTTGAGGTATAAAACGACCGTTAGATTCCACTGCTAATGACAGTGAAATTCTCCGGTGATAATTTCAAATCCCATATTGTAGTTATCGGCTACACGAGATTTGTTTAGTGATATGGGTGAAACTAAGTATAAAGCGGTCGATTACCTATTATGTCCCATAAATAGCAATTTAATCATTCTTTATAAAAACTTATGGGTTTAAGAACTGAAATAAAATTAAAAAAGGAATTAGTATTTTTAGTATAAGAATATAAAGTGGAGAAAATTAATGTTATTGTGAAAGAAATCGTACCAATGGAATATTTATAACTCATATCGAGCACCAGATCCTTTTTCACAACTTTACTTTTGGTTTGCTTTTTAGTTTGATTCTTATTTTTGATATAAAAGCGTGTTTTTTATTTTTTTTTAATTTATATTTTTTTATATTTATTGTTTTGTCATCGGTCCTTGTTATATGTGCAGTTTTGTGTTAAAATCGCGTTCAAATAAACAACCAACATACAAGTGTAACTAATAAAAGCATGTTAAAAAACATTTAAAAACACTAACGAGTCTACGGCTCCTACCGAAAACAAACCCTTCAGCTTTATTTATTAATAATGTTTTTTTAGCCTAAATGATTTTTAAATGAAAACAATATTTTACGAGTGAAACTCGCACGTGCCCAATTTTTATTTTTACATTAATAATAAATTTTCATTTGAAAGTCCATTCGCTCAACACAATGTTAATTAATAATAATATCTTCGGCATAATAATATTATAGGTAGTCGTTCTTTATGATGTTCAAACACATCGCGACATCTATTGGTGACATTTAAAACAATACGACATAGTTAACTATTTCTATTTTCTTGAACTTCACATTTCACTTACGATAATTTGCTTTAAGATATGTTTTTTAATAACAAAAAAATTTTTTTTCTTACTTTGTAAATTATCAAATTAAATTGTGTATAGTTTCAGTCTCCAGTTTCTGTGTTTTTCCTTATGAATGAGACATTTTATTGTAGTGAAAATTATTCTATGTTAACCCTGCTAATCACTATACCACCACTATACCTACCAAATTTTATTCTAATTTGTCTTTTGTGATGTAACAGGCGGACAGAGAAAATTTTTAAAATCTGTTGGGTTGGCCACAGTATTTCGATAATAATGAATTTCAGAAGATTTTCCAAAAATACTTAATGTACAAACGCAGCTTAGTTCCAGTTTTATTTTATAGGTATTTTTATTTTATAGAAATTCTCACAATCACAAGACGACCACCTCCAGGAACGATTATAAAATCATATGTAAGCGTATGTATGTAATTTTGTACCTCTCTTCCTCTTTACTCACTTAAATCCCTTGAAAATTATAGTAAGAATGTAATAAGTATAATTATCATTATTTACATTTTTACTTAGAAAGTATCTTGAAATTTATTGAGGATCACCCTGAGATTTATGGTATATTAATTGAAAAAAAGAACCACAAAGATGGCTCACAACTGGAAAGAAGGATATCACATTAAAAAGCATACAAAACACTTTCAGCAAAACACAATTCAGCACCTCCTATTTAAAATTAGTCGAGAATTGAGACAATTTATCATAATTTTCACTTAACATAGCATCGATTAAAATTTAAAAATTATCTAGGTTGTCTAAACATAATGTAATAAAATGTAACAAAAATAAAAAAAAGCTAAATCTGTACAAGACATTTTTTTATAACAGTGACAGATACATACATCTGTATGTACTAAATTCACACAACAAGTAGTGAACGGATTTAAACTACATTTTGTCTAGTTGTAATTTATTACTCGGTCAATATTTAGGATACCTTTTACTACAGGAAATCGCTCATTCATAAAAGCCTTAATAATAACCATAATCCATTTGTGAAATAAAACAATACTACACAAACAATATTTTATTATGTACAATAAAACATACTAACAGAAATACATTACTTAATGGTTAACCTACATAATACAACTACTATGGACTTTACACAACTTTTTCAGATGAACCTTCTGCCAACAGTTCTTGTTCCGCAGAAGCCTTTGCAGCTTGGATTCGTGGTCTAACATATTTATAATATTTATATATATGATCACCAAGAATAACAGACCCATAAAGAGTTAGTCCCACACAACATAACACAACACCTTTATGCAACCTATCGTATAGGAGATTTTTTGCATATTTCTTCATTATGGATTGCTGTAAATTAAAATTTAATTTAATGGGAGTAAAAATGTAAATAGTTTCGTAAAATAACCAAAACAATCTTCATCATCTATATTTCAAACAGTGCAAGTTTATGAAGCATAATATAATATGTTTTGTTTATAGATATTATTAATATTTACCTGATTATTCAATATAAGAATCTTGAAATAAAGCCAATAATGGCTTTTATATGGGAGTCAAAAGTCAAAACACTGGTGACAGCTGGCACTGACGGTACAGATAAGTGTTGCTCTATAATTTAATATGTTCTTGCATGCCTTGCGCAATGCACATGCATCATTTTCAAATCAATGTAAGTGAGGAAGATTTCTCAAAAGGAGGGTGCCACACGTATAGCCTATTTACATTCAGTCAGGTTAAGCAATTTATTGTGATATCTCTTTTATACCTGGTTTAAAAAAAACGAAATTCTTACCCTTTTAATTTTCATAAGGAAATGGAAAACCTCCATACATCAAAAATACAATACAAATTATAATACTCCAGTCTCCACTTATTTAATAATTTTTCATTCTTTACTCAGTCTCTGCCGCGGAGCGTGGAAATTTGGATTTTGGAATACAACTGTCAATAGTCAAACTGTGGTTTTGAAATCAAAAGGCATGGATGACAAGTAAATCAAAAGGTTATGTTTTTAATTTGAAGCAATAGGATACTTAAGTGCCTACTTATTAAAAACTTTATAAATAATTTTTATATATAATTATGCAGGACAGGTTTATCTTTTCCACTCTTAAGAAAACAAAATATATCTTACGATTAAGACAATTTTCTACCAAAGTGCCGAAAACTCCTATTATAACGTTAGAAAAAAAGGAAACTGAAAGAACCAAAGTTGATACAAATACAATAGCATTATTAGAAAGGCTTTCTTTAGTTAAATGTGATACTGATGAGGGTGTCAAAGTATTAGAGGATTCGATTGCATTTGCTGATAAAATTCTTCATATTGATACTAGTAATGTGGAGCCCCTTTACACTGTTTTAGAAAACCAGTAAGTACTTTCATTACTAAGTAACTAAGTGGTATCAAGCACAAAATCACAAATATGTTTTTAATTCAATGGAGTTTTAAAGTAAATAAATATATTCTATTTTTTGTTCTCTTGTTAAATCCTCTGAAAGACTGGTAAACATTAAAGCTATCATTAAGTATCGCTGTTTGTTTTCTAAAGCAAATTCATCATACATCAAGCACGCAAATATCTAAAGAGATGTTGTTTCTCAGTTTTTTTTTGTTTTTAATTAATTATTTTTGTCTCAACAATTTAAAGAATAAATGCAAGCTTATAATGACATAGTATTACATGTTATGTAAATATATTTTACAGAAATTTAAATCTACGGGAGGATAAAATAACACAAGGGAATTGTCAGAAGGACATATTAAAAAATGCAACTTTAACTGAAGATGATTATTTTGTAGCTCCACCAGGCAATATTCCATTGCATGAAGTCCAGAGTGAGGAACTTAAAGAATTTAAGAAAAATGAAAATTGAGTTTCAAAAGCTATTGTCTTTGCAAAAGTTCTTTAAAATTCAACAGAAAACATCTAATAAAATTATTTTAAGATTAGAGAAGCCAAGTAGTCTTCTGCTTCAAAATATTCATTATAGTTGGTTAAAATATATCCATGTAAAAACTGTAAATAATTTTCCTGTATATTTAGATAAAAATGTTGAACCAACAAAAAATAATGTGCCATATTATGGTTTTATCGAACGCCACTCAACTGAAAGTATAAAAGAAATATCAATAGGACCTAACGATGATAAGTTTTATCCACAAAACACATTGCATCTCAAACTTAAAATTATTTTACCACAAACTGAAATTATGCAATGTTTCATACAATGGCAAAGGTACAGGAAATATTGGTGGAGTTCAGTGAGTACTAATGATTTCCATGATTATTTTTTAAGGTTATAGCTTGTTTTTATAATTTAAGATTTTTTCCCAGTGAGATGAGATTTACAGATAATAAATAAGATTACAATAAATTTTAAACTATATATATTACTACTTATATTCTATTATTATTATATATTACTTATTATTCCTTACCTCGGTGACTTTAAGGCGACTACTGTTCACCATTAACCATGTTCCTCCTTATTAAATTTATGGTATAATAAAAAAGTTAATAAATATTTTTATATTTACTTACAGGTAACAACTACTCCAAGTCTCTTCTCTATAAATGATATGAAGCATGATACTGATAGCTCCAATGTTAATATCATAGCCAACTTTGCATGGGGACAGTATATTGTGGAAACCATTAATGTCAATCATAATCATGTAGATGAAATAAGTAATAGTGTAAGCTCACTTTTGTATTTTACATTTTAAGTGTAGTTCTAGTAACTTCTATAGAATTTTATTGAGCTTTTCTTGTATGCAGCCCTTTTTAACGTAGGCCATAGTCCACCACGCTGGCCAAGTGCGGATTGGTGGACTACACATGTCTTACGAAAACTTACTAAACTCTCTTAGACATGCAGGTTTCCTCACAATGTTTTCTTTCACCGTAAGACAATTGGAAATCATGTTGGAAATGATTCACACATGAAAATATTAGAGGTGCGAGACCTGGGATTTGAATCCGCTTCACTCTGTTTCCCAAGCCCTCAATTTTTCTCAAAATAGTTAAAAATTTTAATTTTCTTTTAGCAGTAATTATAAAGGTATTTATCAAATTGAATGGTAAATTGTAAAATAACTTTTTTGTCAAATTAAGTCACAAATCACCAAAAATTACTGTCTTCTATGTGAATTTAATTATTATGTGAATGTATTATGATAAATATATTGGTGCAATAACACACAGCACCAGGAGCGTCACTATCATTTGAACCTAACGTGTCATAAATAATTCTTTAATACCTTTTAGAATAACAATGGAAGTGCATGCCTCACTTGTACAACAGGTTTAGAAACAGCCTTTCTGACACTACTTTTGGATGGACTTTCTAATACAACCAAGGAAGAATATCTAAGACTTCATAATAAAATGGCCCCATATAAAATATCCTTTGCATTAGATAGTGAAGGTATGCGAGAAAGTAAACCATAAAAAATACAGACAACTTATTTTTTAAGACATCAAAAAAAAACTTCCTTACTTAAAAGTTTGTCCTGGTGGATTTGTACAAAAATTGATCTCTAACTAAATAAAACTATCTTTTCGGATTATTTCGCGGATTTATTTTGATTTTTGGTTCCCGACGTTTCGAATGCTTTACAGCATCCATGGTCACGGGAGAGACTGAGGTGTTACATGTCTTGAAGGTATAGTTGTTACAGACAGCCTACCCACAATTAACAAAATGAAAATGTCAAACATTCGCGTAATTCTAAGAAAGTATTATGATCTCTAACTAGATTTATATATTTTTTTATTTGTATTTGTACCAACCTAATATCCAAATTCAATCTCTATAAGTAAACAATTTCTAAAGTAAAATCATAGTACAATAATTATATATTATAATCAATTATAATTGTACAGATTATATTCAATTGTATCAAAATTGAATCTTAAAATCTTCATAATAAGTATAGCTACTTATCTGTCTTCTCTACATAAGATATACTAATAAAATAATAAGTAGTAAAAAAAGTACTAAAACTTTGCATTCGCGGATTTACTCGCGAATATCCATAATATTAGGATAATATTAGCATGACTTAGAATTATCTATCTAAAAATTATAACATTAAAAAAACATTACAGATCCAAATGTTTCGAATACTTTGAAAGAGCTATCTACACTTCTCTTTCATAAATTAAACAGTAAGAAAATATCAGCTTGGCTACCAAGTTTTACACTGCCATTACAAGTACAGGTAAAGTGTTTTTTTTATAAATCCTGTAATATAAAATAAATATTATATAAGTATAAAAATAAGTATAAAATATATATGGCTATGACCTTTGATAGATATATGAATATTATTTAATTTACAGGCTTTTTGCTGTCTTTTAAATTATATTTTATATAAAGTTTTTTAATTTTTTTATTTAGCGTATGCCACATGGACTAAAACAGACAGGATGTGATGGATAAGACCATATCATTATTGTGATTATCTAACATATCAAAATCCATACTATTCTTTCCACATGTTATGACTAACTTCATGTTCACTTTATTGTGTCCCCTTTAATTTTTTTATTTTCTTAATATTTAAACATCGTAAATGTAAACACTGTAATTAATTGTATATTCCCTGGCACCATATTTTATGTAGATTGGCTCAGCACTTTGCTTTAGAATTTTTTTGGTAATAAGTTATATTATTTTACAGATAAAAGAAAATCTGCATTTAGGTGTGACATATACAGCAATTCTTAGTGAAGACACACTAACAAATGGAATATTTCATTTACTCAATAGTAGTACTATGTTGAAAGTAAGTATTGGTTTTGTGTATTTCTCAGGTTATGTGTACAGTCATTATTCAGGTTATGTGTTTAACTACATAATATGTATATTTCATTATACATATTATGTAGTTTTTGAAGTTATACTTCTTTTGGGACGTTTGGAAAAAAATATGAGAGTGAAATTTTTACGATGCGCGCGCACAATTACAGCCAAAAAGCGACATGATGAAGTTAGCTGATAACGGTAGTAGTAGTATAATAATAATAACTGATAACTGTCATTTACCATTCCTTTTACGAACAGAGAGTTGTGACATACGGGATGAAACCTTTAGCTATTTTTGTTCTGTTACGCCAAAGAAGTATAACTTCTTACGTACATAAGTACACAAACACATTTTTTTTTGACTTGACTTTTTTTTACATTAGCTTAATATGGGATATTTTGTCCTACTGCAAATTATTCATAACACACACATCAATAGGGATATATTTAACCGACTTGAAGGAAAGGTAATTTTTAAGTTGATAAGGTAACATAAGTACCTTTCCATGTTACTTTTAGTTATAACGTATAAAATTTATTGGCATTGAATGACTTTCAGTTTAATCACACAACTACAACATGCAATTACCAATGCTCATTATTATCAAACCATGACGAAATTATGATAACGATACCGTAATTTTGCTAAATGTTCTTGTTAATATACCAATATACAAATATTTTATCTCATAATTAGGTGTTTTATTGTTCATTCGCTTTGAAATAAGCGTATGCCTATTGCTTGGAGAAAATAGCCGGTGCATTGCGCTTGGTCTCATTTGGAACTCTTTTGTTGATTTTCAAGTAGAGATTTGGCGTCTATTACATCTTTAACATTTTTTATTATATACTAGGATTGCCCGCGGCTCCGCCCGCGTTCAGGTGACCAAAAACCAAATTCTTATGTTTTACACATTAGTATACTCTTAAAGAAATGAGACATTTTCCCGCGGTAAACAGTATTCTATAAGTTGCCCCGGATAACCAGCTATTACCATACCAAATTTAATAAAAATCCCTCCAGTAGTTTTTCTGTGATGCGGTAATAGACAGGCACGATAGCTTCGTTGCGTTGTATTCACTGTTCTAACCTAAACTAGAAAGAAAGGGTTCTTCCGAGTAACTTTTAACCTACTTACCTCCTACGGTCAAAACTGCTATTGACCAAAGCCTGCAATAAAAACTACTTTTGACCAACCTTTTCATACCATTTCATATAATTTGTCCTAAGGTTGACTACTATCTATTGTTTATATCTTCTTTTTGTACATTTCTTTGTGGTGGACAATAAAGTATCTATCTATTTAGTCAAAATTAGTTTTGACTGTAACATATATAATGAAACCCCTTTGTCAGGTTTAAATTCCCACATTTATTCATAGTGCACGATTTTTTTATCTCATGTAATATAATACAATATAAAATTATTGTTTCAGGAACAATTACACGTGGCTGATTTCGATTCATATGCAGCTTTATTGTGTGGAAAATAATTGTTATAAAATACCATTAACCTATTATAGTTTAGTTAAAATTAAGTGTTGTTTGTTTAATAAATGTATAATAAAAAAAAGACCCATGTATTCACTTCCAAATTTAATTCTTATTACAATTAGAAATTACATTCAAATCTTATGCTATGATTAAAAGAAAAATAATTGATCTAGGTTAAGTAAATCCAATTTTATTCATAAAAAATCTTGATCCACTATGGACAGTAAAAAACTTTTCATCTATATGGAAGATATAAACGCGGATTTCCTCTAAAATATTAGATAAGTTACAAGTCTGATTTTATAATGCTACATAGTCTCATCACTTAGAGAAACGTCGCTTTAAATCAAATGTCAATCTGTAACATATTTTTTTCAAATGTTTTTAGAGCATAAACATAAAATAATTTAATTTTAACCAATTTTATTAATCTGTTTTGTTTGTGCGTTATTTAAGATCTTTTTATATAAATTCCAAATTTACAACTGGCAACATTTGTCTAGTGAGGACTATTAACGTCATAAATACGAATTTTCGTTATATTGTAAAGAAATATATTACTATATACTTATCTATGCATCGTTTAACGCACACAATGGATTTATAATGGCACGGCCACAAATTATCGTGGACATGCCAAATACGCAGTACAAGTAATACTAAATTGGTGACAGTATAAAACTTAGCGAAACATGCATATCCCATAGTTATGAAAATAATTAAAAATTAATTTAGCATAATTATGTAGTAATCGTCAAAATATTTATTACAAAAACAAGAAATTGCAATTTAAATATGATTTCTTAATCTAATATATATTTTTTTATTATAAAAAAAAAAAATACATGTAAGATGAGAGAATTTAAAGTTTTAACGATTTTTATAAAACCGTAACCATAAACAATATTTATGGGCTCAAACAAAAATGCCGATTACCACATTTTATCCATACAGGAGAATACTCAAAACAGATTATATTATTCAACAGATAAGTAAAAGAAATTAAGTTTATTTAAAAGTTACATTTAGATAGAATATGACAAATGCCTTAAATAAGTTTTCACAGCTGTAACACGTCACTTGTACAACTAGATCTTAGGTAATATTATCAACTTATAAAATAACTTGACGTTGTGTGTCAGTTCATTGCACCTTTTTTGTGGTTTAAGCTGGCAGTTGGAGCTTCTTCCCCTTAAGAACTGAAACAAAATATAGTAATTAGTAATAGTTCATTAACATAAATATATATCATTTATTATAATATTAAATAAGGTTTGTTTTTGTCTTTGCCGGAAATTATTTCTTAAAATATTGATTCGGTTAAAACTCATTCAATTTTATCCTTAAAGTAAAGGTGAAGGTGAAATCATTAAATAGGAAAAGTATTGAGTACATTTTATTTCATATAACTAAGTAAAGTATCACAATTCAAAATTAAAGAATTTTTGAAATTATAACAAAAAAAACTTTGCTAAGTTCCATTACAGACTTGTCATGAGGAAAAATAAATTTAAATTTTAAATTAAATGCAGCTAAAATATAAATGATTCTATATAAAAACAAGCATTTCAATTAAATTAATCCAATTTAATAAGAATTCTTAATTCTTATATGTATTGAGTGTTCAATAAAACTTTCTTTATATAGAACTAGTGGCCCCTTTGCTCAGATGCATCCCTAGGTGCCTAATAATTTAGTGCAAAGGAATAACAAATATACAGACACATTCCTATTTATAATAGTACTCCAAAATTTAATCTTATTTTTCCTGTAAATGTTTCCTTCCTATTTGATCATTCATGAACATAATATTAAATATACTTAAAATTACTTGAGGAATATGTTTGTATACAAAATTTACTTTGTTTTCATAATAACTTCTGAGGAAATGTTTATAAATACCTTTAGTAATATAGAGGTAGAAGAAATCACAGTACAGTACAGTCTGTACAATGCCAGCAACAATAGCTATTGGCTCATGGTGATTTTCAACAATGTAGCGGTATATCTGTAATGATATTGAAGACATTTATTATCTAGTATCTATAAATAAACATGTATTGTTATGTAAAAATCTAAATATTAAAACTCACCCAGTTCAATAGGTAAAGACCTCTGTAGGAACCCAAAGCAAATAAGTAATGAGATGTGATACTCTCAGCTTCTCCAGTCTTAGAAACCAAAAATAGTTGTGGAAGAATTGCAACTGATTCCAAATAAATAGAGAATGTCCATAAAACCTGAAATTATTTTCATTCTGTATAAGTTTTCATAACATACTTAACTAATTGACTTATTGCATAAAAGAAAATAAAAACAATTGATAATCTTGTTAATAGATAAACTGTGCTTAAAAACATATGTCTTCTAGTTAAGCGTAGACAAATTTAAAGTTTTAATGAATCTAGAGCAATGAACCATACTAACCTCCAATACTGTGAACTCACGATTAATCAGTAAGGCCAGAATCAGAGATGGAATTAAAAGGAATTCAATCCTAAATGTGTCGTGGTTGTGGTCGTAGGTGGCTTTAAACTTGACATACATCAAATAAACAGTCGCGTACGATGCAGCTAGAAACACTATCTTCATTATAGTGTTATATGGGGATACAAATGTTGTAACTAAGTCCAAATACCGCGTCGTATATACTATGGAAAATAGTATTTGTGATTTTCCCGATATTCCTGAAAAATTTAACAAAACATTAGACATTGTAATTCCTTACGTGCCAGAAAATAAACGGAACATGCCGGCTGCTATAATCACCTGCACATGATCTGGTTTTCCATATTTTAAGCAATAATATTATTATAGCTAAAAGGTGGGACAAGTCCGCAAGTAAACGGAATATATTCATGATTTATTGTTTTTTGAAGTAGCCTAAATTAGACGCCGCGTAAACTAACTCTACAATCTTCTCATCGAGCAAAAGTGACGTGGCTGACTGACAAAGAATGTCAGTGTTACTAGGTTCAAAAAATAAATAGTTGGATACTCGTAGTAAAAAATACTATGCTTATATACCAAAATATAAATTAACTAGCATTGCCCGCGGCTCCGCCCGCGTTCAGATGATCAAAAACGAAATTCTTAGGTTTTACATATTAGTATACTCTTACAATGCAGTTTTTGTATTTTTTCTCAGAAATGAGATATTTTTCCTCGGTAAAAAGTATCCTATATGTTGACCCCGATAACCAGCAATTACCATGCTAAATTTCATCAAAATCCCTCCAGTGGTTTTTCCGTGATGCGGTAAACAGACAGACAAAAATTCTAAAAACTATAGATTCGACCTCTGTATCGATAATAATGTCTATTTCAATAAGATTTTCCAAAAAATATTTATTATACAGATTCGGCTTAGTTACAATTTTATTATATGTATGGATTAATTCTCAAATCTCAGCTGATTTTGACGTTTCTGATTCTGTGTAGGTTAGAACTTAGATTTTTAAATAGAAATATTATTTTTTAGGTAATAAATGCGTTATGTTTAAAATTGCGAAATCAAATAGTAAGTATGGTGAGAATAATTATAAATAAAATAATAGATTGGAACTCGTATGCATCAAGGATAAGGATTTATAGAAGGTAAATAAAACATATCTAACCTCTAGTAAGTAAACAATTTAAATGTAATATGTACAAATGCATTCAGTAACTTTTGATTTATTTTCAGTTCTTTCAAGAGGTTATACAGTACTGAAAGTGATAAAATTATTGACGCCACTAAAATCAGAAATTTTAGTATAGTGGCTCATGTTGACCATGGTAAAAGTACTTTAGCCGACCGTCTACTTGAACTCACTGGAGCCATAAAACCAGGAAGTGAAAATAGTCAAGTATTAGATCAATTACCTGTTAGTTTTTTAATGGTTTTTGTAAATTTAAAAATAAAACCCTAACTATATTTTAAAGTAATAAAATATAATCAATGTTGTAGGTTGAGAGAGAAAGAGGCATAACAGTTAAGGCTGTAACAGCATCACTAAATTACACATTTAATAATGAAGATTATCTATTAAATCTAATTGATACACCGGGACATGTTGATTTTTCTAATGAGGTATGCATACTAGATAATTCATTTGAAATAATTCAATCATTACAGTATATGTATATCAATTTTTTTTTTTTTAATTTGTAAGTAACTACTTTTAGGTTGTACGCAGTGTAAAAGCATGTCAAGGAGTAATATTATTGGTAGATGCAAATGAAGGTGTTCAAGCACAGACTGTTGCTGTTCATTCATTAGCTAAAAGAAACAATTTGGTTATAATACCCACACTCAACAAAGTGGACCTGCCGAGGGCTGATCCAGAAAATGTTAAAGCCCAAATGAAATCTCTTTTCAAAATTGAACCAGATTCAGTTTTAAGTATATCTGCAAAGAAAGGGTGGGGAGTTAAAGAATTATTAGAAGCTATTATTTCTCGAATACCACCACCACCTATCAGTAATGAAAAACATTTCAAAGCTTACATAATCGATACCTGGCATGATAAGTACAGAGGAATTATGTGCTTAGCTTATATAGAATCAGGAACCATTCAAGTTGGTCAACAGGTCAAATGGAGGTCAGATTTGAAACAGCATACATTAAAGTACTTGGCACTACTTCGCCCAAACGAAGAACCAATAGATAAAGCCGTTGCAGGTCAAGTTGTAATGGTGGGTAAGTAAAAAAAGAACCAATACTAATAAAAAATCTTATGTTATACACAATAATTTATAATTATTATATAACTCTCCATGAACATATACAGTCCTGGAAAGAAAGTTGTCATGGGTCTTATTAGTATAGTACCTAGTCTAATTTAATATGGCTTTTTGTTTTCAAATATCAAACTCAACTTAGTCCAACAGCATATATCTATTACTAGTGAAGCACTTCAGTTGAGGTTGTGTTAATTAGATTCAGACTTACGTCTGGCACATTTTCTGTCGCTATGCACCAACCCACTGAACTATACCATAATGTTTTGCTTATTAAATTGTTTATATTCATAGGAATAATCATGCTTATTGTGCGAATGTGACCTTTTGTGAAGTTATCTGGTGTTTTATACTCAATCAATCACATGAAAATTAGTTAACCATTTTCAATAAGACTTTGTTACACTGATAGACTTGCGTGGCTGGATTAACATATAGAATAATAAATATTTTAACAGGATGTGGCCCAAAAAGTGGAGGTTGTGTTGGAGATCAACTTCTCTCATTGGAATCAGCGGAAAGTACGAAAATAGCTTCGGCCCCGACAGTCAAGCATATGGTATATGCTGGTATTTTCCCATCAGATCAGTCTCAACATGCACAATTGAGCGACGCTATTAAAAAACTCGCTTTAAATGATTCTGCAGTTAGTGTTAATGTGGATTCTAGGTAAGTTTTTATGTTATTTATTTTGCACTGGTGTATTTTATTTATTTCATGTTGTATATTATTATTTCCTTTCAAAAAGAAACTTTTTTGGGGAAAAATCCGAAAACCGTAATTGTAGAATATATCATTAAAAAAAATTGCGGTGTGCAGTCACACTCGCACTTGTCCGATTTTTTGCCACTTTTTTTTATAGAAATTGTATAATTTTAAGTTTGCATGATTTCTATTGTTTCAGTCCCGCCTTAGGCCAAGGGTGGAGAATTGGTTTTTTAGGTCTGTTACATCTCGATGTTTTCACACAACGTCTTTTGCAAGAACATAAGGCGGAGGCTATACTAACTGCACCATCTGTACCATATAAAATCAAGTAAGTTCTATCATTGTATAAGTGAAAATGAAATCCAAAAATAATAAAAAATCATCCTTGAAAAGATGGATATTTAAAAAAAATATTATTATTTCCAAAATTAGTTTAAATTCTAACCAATAAAATAATAAACCTTTTTTTAAATTTTGTTACATTTTTGGCCTTCCAGTATTCTATAAATTATAGGGCCTTTAATTTTTTACTATCTAATTGTTGATGTTAACCCTTTTGTGTTCACTTATAAACATACATAATAAGAATAGATTTGATTTTAAATAATTGCATTTCCAGGGTAAAAGGAGCAAAACTTATCAAACAGTACAGAGGAGAAGAGGTAATTATAACAAATCCTCTACAGTTACCTGACTCAAACAATATCGTCGAATATTACGAGCCTTTTGTTATAGGTAAAGTATAACAAAAGATATAAAAAAATACCTGATTTCACACACTTATGAATTGTGTAATATAAAAAGTATAGAAATTTTACTTTTAAATACAAGCGAAGACGCGGGAAAAATGTTTTATACGCAGTTCGCCTTCGTGGTACAAATATGTAAATATACATTTACGTGTTAATCCATCATGTAAACTATGTCAGTTCATGTGATTCAAGTCTGTCGATGGGGTGATGTTGGAATTTCTTGTTATTTATGACGACACGTTTGGCTAAGATTGTCTGTCTGTGCCAGTGGTCGCAGGTTCAAGTCCCGCTGGGGGCATTCATTTGTGTGATGAGCACGAATATTTGTGCTACAGTTATGGGTGTTTACATTTATAATATGTATGTATTTAAAGTTATATATATGTAGTGTATCAAATAACTGGTATCCATAACACAAGCCTCATAGCTTACCATAGAACTAAATGGTGATGTGTATGAATGTCCCAACGTATTTAAAATAATGTCCCCCTGATCTATTTTGGCCATGGTGGCCAATCTCAATGAGGCTAGCCAATAGCGCGCAAACACAAGTGCACTCTCTGTTCCTGTCACTCTCACACTCCAGTAGGATAAACAGTAATGAAAAATGGGGTGTTATAGTGTGTGTATGTGTGCACAACACTTCATTGCACTGCAACAATAGAATTGTGCTGTGAGTTTTAGTGAGTATGATTCTCACAGTCCCCTGTACAATAACGGCTGGACCACATCATAAGTTTTCCCAGCGAAAACAAAAGAAGAAGTAAGCTATCACCATTTAGAATTTGATTTAAATCCGTTGAGGCATTTCTAGGGATCAGTGGCGAAGGATGAAATTTTAGCGAATCTATTTACAGTGATTTTTATAAAATACTTTATTTATATTATAGGTACAATAATAACTCCTGTAGAATATATAGGCGCAGTGACTACGTTGTGCATCGACCGTCGGGGAACCCCCTTGCCGTCAAACGCGGTCGATGACAAGATGACCCTAATGCAGTTTATATTACCATTATCAGAAGTCGTTATAGACTTCCATGACACATTAAAAAGTTTGACATCCGGTTTCGCCAGCTTCGATTATCAGGACCATGGGTTCCATCCAAGTGCTTTGGTCAGAGTGAGTATGAGATTTTTTATTTTATACCTAAATAATTAATAGATTTTAAATATTTTATTATCACACTAGCGAATTACCCTGTCGTTGTTCGACAGACATACTTTTTATACACCACAGTAACATACATATATTTTTATAAATAACTACCGACTCACCCTCGCTTCGCTCAGTTTCGTCCCTAGATTGCTTCCCCATACAACTTTCACTCCCTTAGGGGATGATTTCCGGGATAAAAACTATCCTATGTCCTTCCCAGGGTCTCAAACTGTCCATCTTACCAAATTTCATCTAAATCAGTTTTGTAGATCCAGAGGTACCCCCCACAACGTCACAAACTCACAAACTTTACTTCTTTATAATATTAGTCTAGAATAGCCACTTATCTTCGCTTGCGCGTGCATTCCTCAGCTTGAATGGTTTAGGAACGCATAAAAGACAAATGTCCAAAAAAAATTCTTTTTTTACACTACAAATCTTCGCAAGCGTATATAAAATAGCCCACCAGAGTTTCATCACAATCGGATCAATGGTTTAGGAACTCAAAGAAGACAAACATACGAACATTCATTTTTATTTATATACATATCTAAGATACTTACTTTTTCGTACCAACATTGACACATAGGTTCTTTAAATATTAAATTCTACTATTTGTTTTTTCATTTTTAGATGGATATTATGTTGAATGGCGTGTTAGTGGACGAGCTATCAACAATAGTTCACGTTAGTCGTCTGGAACATAGCGCGAAAAGGCTAACGGCGAAATTGAAGGAAATGATCCCACGTCAAATGGTGCAGGTGATTGTTATTTACTTAATACTATGCTAATTATTATTAACATATTACTAATTTATATATTAGTTCATCAGTTTTTAAAAAGAAGAAATTTCAGAAATATCGTTATACCTATTTCGTATCGGTGGGCTTTGAGTTGAATCGTAGAAATGTCAAGTTTTGACTTTTATTTCCTAGAAAGCACACTTTCCTTTTTTACAAATTATAACTTAAAATATAATGATCTCATTTTACCGATCAATCTTATTTGTCTTCTTCATTCTACTTGATATTGGCATAGTAATCTATGATCAACTGGCACACTTTGAAGCCATTAACAAAAAAACACAACATCCACATAAAAGAAAACCTAACAATGAAAAAGATCTCTAATTTTGTATTTTAAATTAATAAGTTGCTACTTCTGTCGTTAAAATGTTAACTATCTGTACTGTCTAGATAGATTCAGCGGCTTAAACGCGAATAATATTAATATTAAGTACAAGGGACTTACGCTCGCTCCGCTCAGGTTCGTCCCTACTTACATGATATATGATGAGATATTTTCCCGCAGTAAAAAGTATCCTATATGTTGACCCGGATAACCAGCTATCATCATACCAAATTTCATCAAAATCCCTCCAATGGTTTTCTCATGATGCGATAACAGAGAGACAGACAAAAATTTTAAAAACTATAGATTCGGCCTCTGTATCGATAATAGAGTCTATTTCAATAAGATTTTCCAAAAAATATTTAATGTACAGATTCGACTTAGAATTTTATTATATGTAGAGATTTCTATACATATTTGAATAACGATTTTTAACATTCAGGTCGCAATACAAGCAATTGTAAGCGGAAAAGTGTTTTCTCGTGAAACTATAAAGGCATATCGTAAAGATGTGACCGCTAAATTGGTACGTATATGTATATATTTTTTTATTTTATCCCCCCGATTTGAAACCAGTTGCAATGAAATATAGAATTATATTTATAAATATTTGTATACGCCATCTTAAAAGGATTTGTATCAAGATTTAAATAATAATAAAAAAAAACAATTATTGTTATATTCAGCCCTTTTTAACATCCACATCCTTCACCGTAAGACAAGCAGTAATCGTGTAAAATTATATAATTCGCACATGAAAATACCAGAAGTGCGTATCCGGGTTTTGAATCCACTTTACTTGGTTTCCCAAGCAAGTGCGCTACCACTGAAAAAACCTGTGTAAATTCCGATCACTTTTTTTGACTCTTAAATTTTTGTCATTTTTTCTAAGTTTATTTCGGATGTAATAGATTTTATTTCTTAAACCATTTTATCTTAGTATTTTTGTTTATAATTACAGTACGGTGGTGATATTACAAGAAGGAAAAAATTACTCAAACAGCAAGCTGAAGGCAAGAAAAAAATGAGAAGTGTTGCCAACATCAAAATACCTAGAGATACATTTATAGACGTATTAAAAAGATAGTAGAAATAATTTGTAAATAAATGTTTATTACAGATATATGTTTTTATTCATGTATTTACTTGAACGTTACTTATAATCTGGGGAGATTTTTTTTATTTATTGCGGCAAAATTATGGGTATTGAAATGAAACGGCAATTTTCTAATATAAAATACTTACTATTATTTATTACAAATTTATTATTACAATAAGTCATTGCATAACTAAACATCATAAAAAATTATTTGTAAAATATGCTGTATGTTTGTCTGAATATAAAAAATAATAAATTGAAAAAAATACATGCTAACTAAAAATAAAAAATCGATTATATAGATTTGAACGAAATTATTAAATTATACAATAAAAATAGTGGTAATTTTTGTGAGTGCAACACTAACTTACAAAAAATACGTATGCGTCGGTTAAGTTTAAAAACAAAAATTAATACAATTTAAACCGTACGAATATATGCAATGCCATTTATTTAATCCTTAGTATCTAATCTAAGGCAAAAAGTAAAACCCCTGCAAAAGCTTTTATATAGGCAACATTTATGTACAATTGAAAATATTTTTTCCAAATACTACCTAATTTATAACAATTAAAATCTATAGAATTTCAATTAAGTTTAACAAAATAATCATTTTGAGATCCTTTATAGGCATTAAAATCATGAATTAAAGTTAATTAACGCAAATTATATAATTGTTAATGATAGTTGGAGCCTTTGTTGAGTTCCTTACATCACAAAGTTCAGTCACCACACTTATGATCAAATCAAAAAAATTCAAACAAAATTAAAAAAAAAACTATATTTTAATTTAATTTATTGCCCCTATATCATCTGAAGTCATAGTTTTTTTTTTATAAAAATATCAAGGTTAATATTATTACAATGTGAAATACATTCAAGTTACATGAAATACATACCAGTCAAGCCTGAGGAGTCTAACTGGATGGGTACCACCCGTATCTATTTCTCCCGCCAAGCAACAATGATCGCATTGCTGTGTTCCGGTTTGAAGGATAAGGTAGCCAGCGCAATTACAGGCAAGAGGCATATCATCGTAGTCCTAACACAGAGACAACACACCAATGCTTCTGCATTTTTGAAGTGAAAACTTCTATAGGCAGGTTTGGATGGGTAGTAAATTATCTAAGTCGTCATCGACACGGTCACGTGACGTGTTAACTCTAACAGAGTGCCGATAAATGTTAACAGTTTTAATTTACAAATTTTAATTTAAGATCAAACAATTAATTTGAATATGCAAAAATAGCAACTGTTTGTTTATGGTTTTAAATTTCACTTCTGTCGGCAGTCCTCATGACTGCTTTTTTTGTTACATAAAACCTAAGTGCATGAACCGTACGTGTTGTGTTTATGGGTGACAGGTACCACTTTTTATTTTTGTTTGTTTATCGATGAGCAACATAAAAAAAATACCCAACAAGAAACAGACCAATATTTTGGGGGCATTAGTGTATTTTTTTTAATATAAGCAACCATGATTGATTTTAATCAAAAATAATAAACAATAAACCTGTAATTAATTTAGATTATGTTTGCCAATCTCACTTAAGACTAGATCTAAGAATTGGAATACAGTACACAAGTGGACCTTTGTTTCACTTTTACATTCTAATCGGACAGCATTCCAACAGACCGTAGAGTTACTAATTTTTCGAGAATTCCCTTAAATACATACAATAAATTTACCCTGACCCGGGATTCAAACTAAGGACCTCATGCCCTGTCCTCATCTCTAATAGCTAATAACTATACAAACGAAGATAAAAAAAGTAAAAAAAAATTATATGTAATTGTTTTTTTTGTCAATTTGAATAAAAATTGACCTTAAATGCACCTATATTTTAGAGGCACTTGTCATATTATGAAATACTCTATCCCTACTTGTATGTGAGCGACTAAACTTTATAAAGTAAAAAACACAACAGGCTTCGAAATACAATGAGAAATCTACTTAATAAGTTTTGTTGATAATATTGATAACAATTTATAAATATACAAATGTGTCAAATCAAGCGTGACCACAGTTGGCTCTTCTTTGAACACTAATGTTATGAGCACACTCGCTTCATTGTATTGGTTACTGTGTTATAAATTTAATACAAATCTTTTAATAGCCTCTAGTTTTTATCTAAGTTATTTTTTTTATGTATATTATGTAAAATATTGCATGCATATTGGTTTTTTTTAAAGGAATGTTATTCTTGAATAAACCCCTTTTTTCACTTCAAAGACAAATAGATAATATTTCTTTTTCAAAGACGGTAAATTAAATGATTTAATAAGGAAAGATGTAACAGGAAAACTGTTACATCTAGTTGTTAGTATGTGGAATACTTTGACTAAGACTAACCAGTCCTCACTCACATAAGTATTGTTGACTAAGTTGAATCTTTGATTTTATTTTCAATTATTAATAATTTTTACTATCATTATCATCTATAACACAGTATCAATAACATATAAATGAGAAATTAGTTCAATACTAATTTCACATTAATTAGAATCTTTTCCAACTTGGTTAATGGTATCACATTTATCTGTCTTCGGATGTTTCTAGAAATTGAGCATAGACATCTCTCGTACATTCGCCTTTTTCGTTAAACTTGTATTTGTAGTATGATCCATCTGCGCATATCACTGTAAAGAATGAGAGAAAATATGTATATATATATATATATATATATATATATATATATATATAATATATATATATGTAACATTATCTATAATACTTGGAAAGATTTTTTATATCTTTGGTCTGTCTGGTTATTCCCATATCAATCTATAGACAAGAGTGAACTCTTGTGTATCTTTTTGTCGGACAGATAATAATCTGAATTAAATAAAAATAATATGTACTTATACTTCGTTTCATTTAGCCAATTAAACTAAAAGTACATCTTTAGCTCTCCAACTTAATGCGACCAGGGCTCGGAAACCCGTTAAATTTTTAAAATGGTTTTGGTCATTTACCCCAAACGGAAAGGCTTTTCGGTTTAAGGTTTCGGAAACGTTCTTTAAAAGGTTAAATCTGGGAGAACGGTTTTTGAAAAATGTAGGTTCCATGAATAAAATTAACTGGTTAAAATGAGTTTTTGTGTTTACATTTAGCGCGTTTTGCTAATGGTGATTGGCTTAGTAGAAGGATGCATGCACGTTTCTTACTTATGAATGAATTAACCGGTTTATTTCGGTATCAAAACCGAAATCGAAACTTTTTCTAAGAATAACCGTTGACCATTATTATTATTTCGGTTTACTAAACCATTCGTTTTCATTAACCGGTTAAAAACGAGCAATGAATTAACCATTACATTACCGAAATAAACCGGTTTTTTTAAAACGGTTCCGAGCCCTGTATGCATCAAAGGCTAAATAGTACACGCACAGATGGAGTCGTAGCTATTGACTAGTACTAAATTGAAATATTAAAGCGTATTTTACTTTGAAAACTGTTTTACAACAAATTACATATGTATTCAGCCCTTTTATTTTTTTTAATTACATATAATATGTGATAATTATTTTGAAAAGGTGTTGAAAGTTGAAACCTTTGTGGCATAATACTTATTATAAAATAAAAATTGCTGAGGTTAGTACTTACTAAGCTCAGCAATTTGTATCTTTTTATAACAACACACAATAAAAATAGTTTATTACATGGATATATCATATTTTTTTCTTTGTTTAAGTGGCCTCTATCGATCGATACACACGAATTTAATCATACACCACTACTATGAATAAAAATAAAAATAGTAGCTGATACCAGCTTCCATAGAAATAAGTTAGATACCTTTTGTTTTAGAAGAAACGCTTGTTACATAATTTTGTATATATAAATAAAAATAGGACAGTTATCTTATCTTTTAAGAGTTGAAGTATGATAATACTATTCATCTCTATCTATGCAGTTAAATAAAATTGAAGTGTCTATTTGTAACATCAAAATAACAATTTTTTACTAAATGCATATGAAATGATATATGGTACTTATAAAAAAAAAAAATGTTTGTTCCGGCTAATCTCCGAAACGGCTTCACAGATTTTGACGGGACTTTGACTGGCAGAGTAAAGGAGGACAAACTTAGGCTACTTTTATTTTAAAAAAAGAAGTAGGATTCGACTCAAAAAAAATGAAAATGTACCTAGGGACGCAACCGATCGAAGCCATAGTTAATAGCTAGTTTAATATAGATAGGGATTAGAACATACATATTATAAATACTTTACATTGTTTCACTTAGGTCTTAAGCTGGCAATGAGACTGCATGGTGAATTCCCACTATGAAGACAAAAGACATTTATTGCTAGACATAGAATTCACCATAATCACTGTGGTTGGAAGTTATATCGTGTGCTTGGAGGTCTATATTAAAGGCAGACACCATACGGCAATAGTATTAAAACCAATTAATATTTTATTATATTTTAATGCTACTCAGACATATACTACAAAACATGTCAATTTTTTACACAGATTTCCCAATTCTTTCTTAATAGATGTTAAAAAAATGTTGCACAATATCTCATGATATTGTTATAATATGTAAAAAAATAATACTTACCAATAATAGAACTTTTATCCACACCAAATGCACAAATACATGGCGGACCGTTGGGTATTGTGAATTTACAGAAACTCCAGTTACTTGAGAAATATTTTGGTAGAAAATTTACTGTCGCTAAACTCGATTGCTTGTTTAACTTGTCATCTTCTAGACTGAATATGTGCACTGTGCCATGATCTGATGTTACACATAAGTTTGTACTTGTATGGTTGAAGTTGATGCAATAGATAGTGGCCTAAAAAGTAATTAAAGTTAATCTATACTAATATTAAAGAGGCAGAATTTGTTTGTTTTATTACATTAATCTCAGTAACTACTAATCCGATTTAAAAAAATCTTTTTGCATTAGATAGCCCGTTTATTGAAGAAATATAATAAATAGTTGATCTATTCCATACTAAACGTTAAAAGGTACCTGAGCAAAGTGAGGGCGAGTTGTAGTGTAATATATATAAATAAAGCAAATTAAAAAACTTGTAAAACTTGAATGTAGAATAAAATTAAAGAGTGAAGGTTAACATTTACATGAGCAATCATCATTTATGTAAGTCCAAAAAAAAGAAATATAATATTATGGACTTTAGAACAGTTTTTTTTAATTCAATAATACAACAAAAAAAATTTTTTTCTCATTTTATGTAGAGGCGTAATTAGTTTGAAAAACTTTAGATTATTATTTTATTAAATAAAGAATTACTTGATGTGCTCCCCTCCTCAATTCGGCCAGTTTTTGTCCTGTGTTTGTATCAAAAACCCTTATTAGAGTGCCCTTTGTAGAGGCTGTTGCCAGTCTAGTCCCTCCTACATTGAGAGCCAAGCAGCTTAACGGGGCTTCATGTGCAGCAATCAAATGTCCTTCTGGTGCTGTACTTGTACCAGCGTGACTACTTAACTCTACTAACTAAAACAAATTCCTACATTAGATTTACAGGGGCATAAAGTTTCATATTTTGGAAAAAGATGTTTAATTCAAGTGGGAAAAGCAAATGTATTTATTTTCATGTTTTCGAAAAATTGGTAACCATAATATTTTAAATAAATTTGAAAAGCAATTTTATTTCAAACCAGTATTAAAATAAGTAATAATTCAATTTAATACCTGATAAGAACATTTGACATGGATGAATAAATATTTACATTTGACACGGACATTTATATTGTACTACCATTGTTTAGATAAACAAAAATTCCAATATTAATACCTGAACATGCCCAGTTTTTCGGCTGGGATAAGCAAGAAGAGCATTGTTACTGTTGGGGCATACAACACATAAGCCTCTTGAGTTTTGACATGTTTCAAACACATGTAGCAGCTGTGGTTGTGCAGTAAATGTGTATACTTTGATCAAATTCTCTGCAATTACAAAACATTACATATATTATATTTTGTTATAGTTTATTCAATGCTTTGTTACTAAAATTTAAAAACAAAGATAAATAATTACGTACCCAAGACAACAACTATTCTATCTCTTCTCAATTTTACAGCTTTTACAGGACTGTTGAAATCTAGCGAAATAGCAGAATCTTTTTTAAGGTCATCCCATATTATTACTCTATTCGGCGGATATACGGGTGTTTTGCCTCCGCCAACTAGAGCCATATAATTACATCTGAATAACATTTCTACATAAGAAAGTCCTCCCTCCGCAAAATTTTGACGCTCTTTTTCCTTAAGCGGATCGCTATTGAACACTCTAAAGCCATTTTCTGTTCCGCAAGCAAAGCAGCCTGCGAAAATTATCGTACAAAAAATTTACGAAATAACAGTAAAGATAGTCACCACACAACAAAAACTGCATGTTTTTTACTTTCTATATTATCTAGTAATATCACGACTATTTACCTTGGTCTTGATTAAATCCAACATATAAAAGGCCATTTGAGAAGCTATTTTCTTCTGACAAATTCATGGTCAAATTATAAAATCTTATTTTGAAATAATAAATAATAATACTAAATATTCATAGTTCGACTTTGCGGCAACTTGACAGTAAAATAATAGACAAGCAATTTTTTTATGTTGACATTTTAGATTTAATAAACAAATCTATCTTTTCTTTTCCACAGAGCATAGTACTTTAGTAAAGATTAAAAATCTTTATAGATAGAGTACACACAATATGATGAAGCTGGAGTGTCCTTTTTTTACATTTTCAGTTAACGGCCATTTTATGATTAGGTACTTATATCTGTTTTCTTCTGATTTTTTTTAAAATATTTGTTTAGAATTGTTTATATCAATCTGAATATAATTTTGTTAATGGATTAAAAACAAATAATGCAGTAAAAATAATAAAAAATATTTAAGTTATTTCAAGTTCCAGCCGATTGTGTGTGTGTGTGTGTGTATGATTTGTGCGAGTAGTCGCGAGTGCAATTGATTGCAATTATATTTCATTTCAGCAAGAACTCTTGCGAAACTTTTATATGAATCTCTAGCAATACCGTTCATATATCGTATAAATTCCTACAATTTTATGAAGTCTGCCCACTACACCGTTTCTTACCATGACCGTGCTAGGATCGTGTCAGGCAATTTTTTTTCTTTGTATTGAAAAGTATGAGACTAGACCATTACGTCACCGACCGGCACTGTCGCGTGCCGTGCACGGAGCGGTAACAATTGTTAATATTTTGCCGGTGCCGGTACGCTCCATGCAAGGCACGCGACGTTGCGGAACCGGTGCGTGCAGTAAGCATACGCAGCACTGAAACCGCTACCTACGTACGGGTATGATACGCTGTTGATGCGTTCTAGTGGGCATAGTTGTTCGTGCCATGCTCGTTCCCGTGTATGATACGTTCATAGCATGATATGAGACGGTGTAGTGGGCAGAGTCCTTTATCGGGATAGCTATACCAGTTTAGTTTTCGTTGTTTTATCATGCCGAGAATACAACACGTATAGCAGTATCAATTATAATTCATTTGTTGATAATCAAAAAACTGTGAGTCGTGACAAATCTTAACTTAATTAAAGTGTGTTATGGTCTACATATTTGGTCATTATTTATTATTTTTTTACGATAAATCAAAGGCAGTTGGGGCTAATACTTTTTTACCTACTTCCAAAAAGGAGAAGGTTCTTTGTTCGTCTGTATGTATTTTTTTTTGTATGTTCATCGATTACTCGAAGAGGCCTGAAACGATTTGAAAAATTCTTTTTTTGTTTCAAATGGTATACTTCATGGTCCCATTTAAATGAAATAAACAATAAATTATCTTTAAATAAATGGCTTAATTGAATATAAACGTTATTAAAAAAAAATCTTCTTACAAATTGCCTGCTTATTGCGTCTACACTAAAAATGGGAAATAAATTAAAAAAAAATAAAGTAACCGACTTCCAGGCACTAAAATGGGGGTTTTCATTTAGAATCGATACCTAATCAGATATTTCCGAAGTCGGTACCAGTTGATACAAATTAAAGCAAAAATTTCTTGCAAGCTTATTGAGTGAGGTATCAAAGTGTAATTTTTTAGAAAATAAATACATCCTATATGTTTAAAAGTAATTTAGAATAAAAAAATTATAAATATAATTCCAAATACCTAACTGGGCAAAACGAAAAAGCTGTAGACAATTAATAAAATTAAAAAAACTAACATACCCGACAGCGTAAAAAAGAACTATAATGATGGAAACAACTTCACAATTGTAGTGTTATGGAGTCGCAGAAATACACTTTTTTTTTAACGTTTGGAAATGCATTTACGCACGAGGTGTGAGACTCACCGGTAAAGCCAGTACTACCCACTAAAACCTAACAAAGCCTTCCCCCGTCCTAATTGGGCGTCGCAGGATCGCTTACGCATTCAACTACGACGCCCCGACGGCAGGTCTGCCGAAGCAGACCACAACAACCACGGGGTTGCTCCAAGGTCCACTCTGCTATCAGAGAAGTACCAGGAGCAACCCGCATGGTACACCGCCCTCCGAAGTGAGCCACCTCCCTGTGCGTTTCTTGGCTTCGCGCCCGGTTGGGTTGCCGGGCACTACTAGGCCCACCACCACGACAAACAAAAAAACGGGGCAGAAATACACCTAGCAATACACGGAACAAGTATAAAACATATTATATTCCTTAGTTAACTTGTTCCCATCTTTTAGTTCTTGTTTTTACGCAGTCGGATCTTTTATTGTAAAATAAGCTCAGATGGCATCGTACAAAGAGAAAAAAATAAGATTAATTTTTTGTTATTTGTATATATTTTGTTACGAGATAAGGTAATATCTTGGGATCGGAAAATAAAGCACGTCCTTTGCACTATTGACGTTTAATTACTTTAGCTTGAAGACATTCACTTCACAAAGTTCACGTATTTTCGCGGTACACGCACAGTTTTAACTTAGTCCAGTCTCAGAACACTATATTTTCACTTATTAGTTATTTCACTTACATTATCACTTCAGCTTATACCACTTTTCCACTTTTCGCAATTCTTCTCGATCTTCGCTCTTCAATCAGCCATCACACTGCTGCCGTTCTTGTATGCGTAAACAAAGAACATTCTAATTTTCGAAAATGCAAAATTTTACAAGTTCAAATTCTTTTAGAATGGAAACTCTTTTGTCCTTGTCTTACTTACGGCAATTTACAATTAAATATTCTGTTGTCGTCGTTGATTGTCAATTAAGTTGACAAGTGTCTTGGCATCTATTCTTAAGCATAGTTATAAGTGTTATCTTTGAGTGTTATTTTGGTATAAAGACTTTCTACGCTCTTAATCATGCAACAATATGATTTTATTTGCAATATTTTTGTCTTATGATTTTTTTTTGAAATGCAATAGGTCTACTAGAAATTTTCATATTTGAATCCGAAGGGAGAAACGGACAAAAGAATTAGAAAAAGAAACCAAAAGGTACCTATATAGGTATAATACCAACGCGTAAACGCGCTGCTGAACAGCGCCGAAACAATGCTGTAATTTCATTTAAGCCCCCGCTGTTAGAAATCTTTGTAAAGCTTTTGAAGTGATTGAATTTTTACGTAGGCATTTCATTTCTCTTTTTTATTTTGAGCTATGAGAATTTGTAGATATAGTACCTATGTTTCTTATAGAAATGATAAAATAACATGCTATGGTATTAAAAAAAGTACCTACACAACACACATTTTAAAGATAGGTACCTACACTTAGGATACCTTTTTAAACTAAATCTTACGTATTTTATGTGTTTATACCTATATGACTAAAGTAGATACTCTTTTGACAATTTACACTGATACTTTTAACATTAGGTTTCCATGCCTAAAACTCCTCTTTAAAAAAAAATCATATCGGTCCTACTACCCACCTAATATTTTATTTCGCACATTAAGTAAGAGTTTTTGTAAATAATTATATATTTATTAAAAACTTAATTTTATTTAAAAGATATACGACCCTTTTTAAGTTTTATAACAAATATTGGACACAATATTATCTACAGGAAACTTTATTGAAGCTCTTGTGCACTAAATCGAAGAGGCAATTTTCCTGCAGCCGCAGGGAAGATTAAGTAATTATTAATCGTCGCCGGTCCCTGTTGCAATCTCGTCTTCGGCCAGACGATAAAAAACCATACCTAGTACTAATTAATATTGCGGCTAGAGTACACCTTAATTTTGCACGTCCGCCTTTGTTCGCAGCTATCCGTTTGTGCGGATTACTTTGCTTCTCTTTAGAGAAATTTTAATGTATTGGAAAGAGATTCCGATTCGAGTTATTGTTTCGATGCACTCTACTCGTATACTATGATATTTGTGAGGTGTTCATTATTTTAATACCTCTTATACTTTACCCCTTTGAAGTTTAAAAGTTTTTTTTGACTACGACGTTGTTGATATCGAAAGTAATATTGTATTTTCATTTTGTTCTTGCCTAAATATAAAACTTGGCTTGATAAATGTGAACATTAAAACTTGAAATAAATAACATATTACTTAGAAATTCTCTGTATATCAAAGATAGATACACGTTTCATTCAGAATGCATTATTACAAGCAGTTTACGAGAGAATGAGCACCAATGTAGTATAGCTGAATAGTGCGTCGTTAGGGATAATCCGATTGGGGCATCGGGGCTTTCGAGTATCCCAGCATTCGGGCATTGGAGCATTCGGCAATGCAGCTCAGCAATGCGAGTCCAGGAATTTGAATGCAAATTGAAAATACCATTAGATCAGCAAACATCTGCATCCCGATAAAACGTTGCAATTGTATACTCGTGATCGAGAAATCATTAGAATAGGTGGTTAAGTACCTACGCGATTGTACACATTATGGTAATTAATCGATATTTTAAATTTAATTGTTAAAAAAATGGTAAAAATTGGTTCGATAGTGTGAGACGACTCATTAATCTTTATATGAAAATAAATGATTTTTATAAATTAGATCGAGTATTATTGTTTGATGTTTTTAAAATATTGGATAGTAAAGTTTTTATAATATAAATGTATTAAGTATAAACAAGTATGTTAATATAAATATTATATAAAGATTTATATGACAATTATAATTATTAAAATAAGTGGAATCTTTAATATCAGAGAAAATAACCATATTTCTCAGTAGTTTGTATCTACCTAATGATGCTACTGCCTCGTTAACCATTATAAAGTGCTTCATAAAGATAGTTGTTTTAAAGCCATTTAAAATATATTGTAAAAGTACGTTATAGAGGAAATTGTTACCTATAGAATTATTTTAATATAAGTACATATATAGTTTAAATATTCTGTATATACATATTATACTAGTGGCTCACCCTCGCTTCGCTCGAGTTCTTCCCTGAGTACGTTTTGACGGTTAGTATGGAATAGATAGACTATATTATATTATATATTCTGAGCTCAAATCACATAATCATCCGTTTTACGATAATGTATAGAAGTCTGCCCGATTTGTTGACATTTATGATTACTCCGCTTCCTTGGGTAGCAGCATGATGATATACCTACTAATATATGTTAATGGGCTATCTAATGTACCAAGAAATTCTACCTCTTTATAATATTAGTAAGTATACTGTATATATTTAATTTAAATTACATATCCTTATAATATTATAAATGTGAAAGTGTTTGTTTGTTTGTTTGTTTGTTTGTTTGTTTGTTTGTTTGTTTGTTTGTTTGTTTGTCCTTCTTTCACGTTGAAACAGAGTGACGGGTTGGCGTGATTTTTTGTGTGAAGATAGATGGAGGGCTGGAGAGTGACATAGGCTACTTTTTACCGCAGGAGATTATTTTATTGCCAAGAAAAACATGTTATAATACAAACAAAAAAAATATATGTTTGATCAGAATTACTTGAAACTTGGTATTAATACTGTTCAGTACAAATTAATAAATATGTGTTTTAGGATTTTTCGAAATTCATCCTATAAGGGGGTAAAATAGAGGATAAAAGTTTGTATGCAACCTACCTATTTAGAGATATTTTTGTAGTTTTAGCGCGAGCGAAGCAGCGGGTTCTGCTAGTACCTACTGTATAATTATAGGTTTTCTGAATAAACAATATAATATGTAAGTTTTGATAATGATTATAAATTATGTTATTTTGTTTGACTATGTTTAAATATTACTATACTACTACTAAACAATAACAATATTAACAGATTCGTTTTATAAAATAAAAATTAAAAATATCTAAAATCCGTTAAAATTGAATTTCTATTAAACATTTTTTATAATAGGTGTGAGTACCTACCTATTCCCAAGGAGGGTTGACGTCAGGCAGGCGGCCGGTCGTAAAACTTTTGCCAAATCCTATCAGCGGTACACTGAAGATGTACTGCGCCGACCCCAAGTGATTTGGGAAATGGGCAGGGAGAAGAAGAAGAAGAAGAGGTGTGAGTACCTACCTACTGCTTAATTTTATTATTAGTGAATTTTAAAGATTATTAAAGATATTCTATGATTCATTTCAATTAAGTTCTCATTGCTTTTCTGAAAATAAGCTAATTATTTACACCTTACTTGATTAAAATTTTCATAATCGATTATTCTCAATAGCGTTGCTTCTTGCTTCAAAATAATAATTTTTTTTTCGGAAATTTCATCGTAATATAATCGATTCAAGACTTCCGAAAATTCTTAAAATTATGGTCTTAATTCTTTGGACTTATATGTTGTCGTATTTATTAAGTTTTTATGTGGACATTTCAAATGCTCAAAATACTAAGTTTGCTTTAAGAAATCGTGAGTAATATTGTGATATGATTGAAGTGCCTAATTTTTTAAAACTAAATATACAAGTTATAAAAACTTAAATTAATTAATTTTTTTATCGTCATGCCAATTAAAGATCATAGGGCTTTTAAAAAAAACATAAGTTGTAGATATGTTCTATACATAAATTTTAAACACAGGTGGAACATACTAATTTAAGTTTTATACTTTTAATAAAGAGGTAGCGTTGTGTGAGCTACAGCCAAAAAGGGGATCCTGCAGAATGGCAATAACAAGGTGATGTAAAACGTGATTTATTTTCTGTGTCAGTTTTTTTTATTCAATTTACTTGAACGAAATTTTTAAATCGATTTATATTTAACACATTGAAATGAAATTATGTGGCTTTAAATATTCCCCTATACATTATGTCTGGAAACAGCAACTTGTTTCGTCACTTATTTGCAAAATTTGATTAATATCTCTTAGAATTATTTGCTTATGGCATCAACTATCTACCCAATTATTAGCTCTACTAGCGACTTACCCTCGCTTCGCTCGGGAAAAACGAGAGGCACAAACAGATGTATCCCACGGGAACTGTTCATTTTTCCGGGATAAAAAGTAACCTGTTGTTTGATCGACAATATAAGGAGCATGCCAAATTTTACTAAATTAGGTGCATAAGTTGTTGTGTACTAAACTGAATAGGTTACTATAGTTTTTTAACTATCTCACGGGAACTCTTTAATTTTCCGGGATGAAAAATATCTAAAATACCGGGGATACAAGGTATCAACGTGCAAAATTTTATTTAAATCGGAACAACAGTTTCGAAGATTAGCGCGTACAAACAGACAAACAGACAGACAAAAAAATGGAAAAAAAAACTGGACTTCTATTTCTCTTCTTACATCCCCTGAATCGGTTTTTAGTATTTTTTTCTATGTACAGACATTTGACCTCTACAGTTTTATTATATGTAGGTATAGATGAGTAGTGCGTAGGTTAGAGTACAAGGCAAAAATTCTAAAATCATATTACTTTATATATAATGTAATATGATTTTATTTATTATATATAAAACAAATTTACCAAAATATAGGTAGACATTGTATGTGCAACCTTGCTTCATAACAATTTTATTATATACGTACTAACTACACCACTCATTCGTTCAGGCTTGATTATAAGACGTTAACTTTACTTCCTATAAATACAATAGGTAACATGTAAGTATAAAATTTCCACAAGAAATTCTCTCAATCATAGTGGAAACTCCGCCCGCGTTCAGGTGACCAAAAACCAAATTCTTAGGTTTTACATATTAGTATACTCTTATAATGCAGTTTTTGTATTTTTTCTGAGAAATTAGATATTTCCCCGCGGTAAAAAGTATCCCATATGTTGACCCGGATAACCAGCTATCATCATACCAAATTTCATCAAAATCTGTCCAGTAGTTTTCTGTGATGAGGTAACAGACAGACAGACAAAAATTCTAAAAACTATAGATTCGGACTCTGTATCGATAATAATGTTTATTTCAATTACATTTTCCAAAAAATATTTAATGTACAGATTCGACTTAGTTATAATTTTATAATATGTATAGATTTTTTAAAATTTAGAAAAAATTTGACAACGTCAAACCAAAATTTATAGTGTGATTAAAATTTATTTTAAAATATATACGAAAATAATATTAAACTTTAATTAATATAAAAAATGTTTTAAAAGACAAAAATATCGAAAGTGTATCATATTACAAGACATAATCAGAGATATATATAAGAGACATATCATAAGACATATTCCGCCATAAACAAGAGCATTCCCAAGGAGGGTTGACGTCAGGCAGGCGGCCGGTCGTAAAACTTTTGCCAAATCCTTCCAGCAGTACAGAGGATGTACTGCGCCGACCCCAAGTAATTGGGAAATGGGCAGGGAGAAGAAGAAGAAGATAGATTTTTTAAAATTTGTTTGATCTAAATTAATTTATTAGATTAGTAAATTTAAATTAAATTAATTAAGTAAATTTTTTGTAAATCTGTTAATATCAATAGAGAAAGTGAGCTCCATACAAATTGTATGATATTTTCAGATATTATTACAATATTAATGAAAGGGTTTGTGAACCTTTCACATACGGAGGCTGCAGCGGGAATAAAAATAACTTTTTGTCATCTGAAGACTGTACAGAATATTGTAAAGGTAAAGAGTTTGAAAACATAATAATTCTATATATATATATATATATATATATATATATATATATATATATATATATATATATATTACATATATAATATGACACATATTATAGTTTTTGATTTTTGAAATACAATTTACATATAAAAATAATGTCACGATTCGATTAGCGGCAGCTTATTGTGCTGTCCAAGGCACAGAGGCTTAAACACTACCAACTTCCCTACTCCGGGCTGCTGATCAATAATTTTTCTGATAGTAAAACCTAGTAGGTAGCTATAATTTAAACCCGACTGGTCCACCCGGGATTCGAACCCAGTACCTCTCGATTTGTAACCGTAGCTGCTTGCCACTAGATCATCATCAAGACTCTCAAAAAGAGATACACATACTGATAAGTCATTACTTTTACTAGAATACTAGCGACTCACCCTCGCTTCGCTCGGGTTCGTCCCAGGGTGATTCTTTAAATTGACATAACTCTTTTATTTATGAACCGATTGAAATTAAATTAATACTAAATGTTAAGTGAAGCTTACTACAATATATTAGTGAAAACCGCATACAAATCGGTCAAGCCGTTTCTGAGATTAGCACGCACAAACTCACAGACAAATAGACAAACAGACAAAAATTCAAATAGAATCAATAATAGTTTTTCTCAAATATCGTCTATGTACAGACAGCGATCAGTTATAATTTTATTATACGTATAGATATTAATCATAAACATTTTACAGGATATCATCTTTTAAGCCTTGTTAAATCTTCTAGACCTGCATTATGTTTCCAACCATTTAAAACGGGCTATTGTCCTAGTCATATGTTGTAGTAAGTATCAATGTATTTTTTATTAGATTTTAAATAGTTACTAGTTAAAGTAATTCAGAACATCGCGTGATCTCTTCTCTTTGGCACTTATATATACCTATCTATTACATGTATGATGCAGTGCCAAAAATTCGTAGAACTGAAACTTAGATACTCTATCTCTTGCAGAAATCCTATTTTTTTCCTGGGATAAATACTTCAGCCCTTTTAACATCTCATTGTTGGACATGAGCCTTACCTCAGTGCAAGGGGGAGTAGACAATAGTTTTCTAGGCTATATGCCTATTGGCGGACTTCTTTCGTGGTAGTCAGGTTAAAAATAAATGGCTTGTGAAAATATAAGGTTGAGGCACTTTAGGTCTTTGCCGAAATAAAAATATCGGTCCTTATATCCTTCATAATTCTTCCTGGAAAATTTACCCGTTAAAATCAGTTAATTGACAAACTGAGAGACAGTTAAAATATATTATAATTTAATAGATATTTAGGCTTTAGTATCTTACAAACACTAACATTAGATCAATATTGACGCGTGCGAGGAACAATATTGTAACTTGGTATTGAAATGAATTAAAAAAGAAATGAACTTCTTCTCAATTTTAATTCCTAATTCAATGCTAGGTACTACAATACTCAGCCACTACTATTTTGTTTTTTGGGGTAGCTTTTTAATTTCGTGTTTCCTTGCATGCCTTGGTACCCTCAAATTTAGCCTTACCTACATTCTTTGCTATGCTTTGTTTAATGTGGAGAATGTATGACTTGAATCGAAGTTGCAACTATTTAATGGTGCAATATTAGACCTTTACTTTTCTGAGAAGACTATTATATTTTACTTTTTTTAATTAGAAAAAATAAATTATTTTTCAGCTAAAACTATCTTTTCGGATTTTGTCGCGGATTTATTTGGATTTTTGTTTCCCGACGTTTCGAATGCTTTACAGCATCCATGGTCACGGGAGAGACTGAGGTGTTACATGTCTTGAATGTATAGTTGTTACAGACAGCCTACCCACAATTAACAAAATGAAAATTGCACCAATTACATTACAATATTTTTTAACTTTAAACATTTTTATAATTTTAATTATAATTGAATATGGAAAATTATTTATTTAATTTTGCTATTATTTTTATAATTATTACAATTTTAAAATATTAATTAGTAATCTATATTTAGTGTTGCCATTATTATATTTATAACCATAAAGAAAAATATAAAATGTAGTATTAATTATTAAAGCCATATAATTGTTCTATGTGTAATTTAAAAAGTTAAAATTAATTAAGGATAATAATTTTAATTTATTTTGCTATTATTTAAAAACAACTTACTAAGCAACACTATTAATATATACTTTTACAAATGAAAAATGAAAAATATTAGTCTGATCAGCTTATCAGTTAAATTAAAATTATTATCCTTAATTAATTTTAACTTTTTAAATTACACATAGAACAATTATATGGCTTTAATAATTAATACTACATTTTATATTTTTCTTTATGGTTATAAATATAATAATGGCAACACTAAATATAGATTACTAATTAATATTTTAAAATTGTAATAATTATAAAAATAATAGCAAAATTAAATAAATAATTTTCCATATTCAATTATAATTAAAATTATAAAAATGTTTAAAGTTAAAAAATATTGTAATGTAATTGGTGCAATTTTCATTTTGTTAATTGTGGGTAGGCTGTCTGTAACAACTATACATTCAAGACATGTAACACCTCAGTCTCTCCCGTGACCATGGATGCTGTAAAGCATTCGAAACGTCGGGAAACAAAAATCCAAATAAATCCGCGACAAAATCCGAAAAGATAGTTTTATTTAAAATGTCAAATATTCGCGTAAATCTAAGAAAGTATTATTTTTCAGCTTTTACTTTGACGCCCAAACTGAAACGTGCAAGAGTTTTTTGTATACTGGTTGTAGTGGTAACGAAAATCGATTTGACACGCTGGAAGAATGTGAAGAAACCTGTAAAGTGTCTAATAAAGACGAACCTTTAAAATTAAATAAAGAGTACCTACCCTTAAAATTTATTGCACACACGTAGATTCACGCACGTACGCACATACATTATATCATTACTATAAAAAAAAATATAAACCATACAAATGCCTTTTTCTCACAATATTGAATGGTTACTTTATTTATTTTAAAATAGTACCTTATAGTCTCCGCGGAAAGAGAACCGTCATAAGATTTGAGGGCGCAGCTTTGTTTAATTACCGTATTTGTTATGTTGACAACACTATAGTGCGACTGTAACATCTTGATACTTTGAAACTATGTAAGAATATAATGTTTTCAGATTCCGTCTTAATAATTGTTTTAAAGAATGATTTTAATGATAACTGTTAAAGATATTTCTGAATGGATGTCATGTGCATTTTAAATCAATTTTCTAAGTAGTGTCACATTCAATGAGTTCGGGGATCGGAAATAAAGGACGTATTCTGCACTACAGTTGTTTTAATGCTTTCACTTAAAAATAGTGATTTATGACCATTCACAAACACACGCACATCTTCCTTTACGTTTTTTCCCTGGCGTGCACCACATGACGTTATTTATGGAACTTTCTTATTTTATTTTACTGTATATTTACTCAATCCTGAAAAAGTAGAAAAAATATTTTAAGTTAAGACTAACTTTACTAACTCGCTTAGACAAGCGCATTATAAATTAAAAGTATCAACACTCTTTATAGCTGCTCTCAAAAATATTGATTGGAACAAAATAAACAAATATTATCATATTTCTAAATTAATTCCATTTAATTTATATATATTTTGAGATGTCAGGGACCGCAGGTTACATAGGAAATCTATAAACATTCAAATAAAACTGTTACATACCGGGCATATCTGCCACACGTTCCGTGACTTTATTTAGGTAAATAATTGTGTCTTTTGCTGCTTTTTCTCCTTAGCAGAATTGTATAATTTTAAATATTATTTCCCTTGTCGAACTGTGTATAGTTTTAGCCCTTTTTGACATGATTTAAAATAAAAATCACAATTAGACAACACAATAAACACGAAATAAAGTTTGACATTTGACAGGTAGCTAGATCGGGTACCCCATAAACGAATTAACGAATTAATATAAGCGGACGTACCTTTACCGGTCTTGTCAGTAACCTGGGAATTTTAGCCTTGGTCGTTTGTTTTGTGTGTCAGTCTCAAGCACTTACTTGTCAACAAAACATCTCAAAAAATGACTAAATGTTCTGTTAAATGGTGTAAAAACTATAACTATAACGTCTCTAATTCGTCCATGGGGTAGCCATATAAAAATCATAATGTTAGTTACATTTTATGCCACGATGGTTCTCTTTCCGCACAGACTATATATGTATGTATATACTTATATTTTTTATTCTTAAACTTTTATAATAATAAAATATAGTTCTCTCATTAAATAAAACTTGATCATTTTTTATTTTTACAAATTTTTTATCGTAATTCTATACAGATATATATTTTGATGATTAAAACATGTTTCGGAGACTATAATATTTTTATTTACAAAATATACCTATTATGCACCTTCATATATAGAATTGTGTTTCATGAATAGCCCTTACAACAACAAATTAAACGAGCCCAGATTCGAAGTTATTGATAGTCGTTAAAGGGTTGTTTTATTACCTTTCCTCCGATTTTATGAATAGACAATCAATCCCGTTCAATAATACCATAATAATATCATTTTATTTATGAGTAATTGTATTGCTATTTTTAATCAATGTGGCAATAAAATAAAGAACAAATAACTAACATATCAAACTTGATAATGGTAAAAATCTGAAGCCTCCAGACTCCACATTATCCTTTTAATGAAACAAAATAAGCGGCAAACATTATAATTTTATCAAATAATACATTATTATTTGCATATATGAAAATACCACGGATATGAAAACAAAATTTTGTTTATATAATCCAATCTGATTTAAACTTGAGCAAATTTAATTGAAATTATTTAGATTATGGCTTTAAGAATTGTCAGCTAAAGCACCATTTACTAAGCTATCTTCACGAAAACAACCACAACATAAGAAAACACGATGAATTAATCCACTTGTAAAAATGACATAGTATTCTATAATATGATATCTAAACATATTATATAAATATTTTATAACTAGTGACTCACCCTCGCTCCGCTCGGGTTTGTCCCTTTCGTCCGTCTCGTTGTCCCTAAGTTTTAGCATTTACTATAGATTTCTCAGAGATGAGATATTATTCCGCAGTAAAAAGTATCCTATATGTTAACCCAGATAACCAGCTATTATCATATCAAATTTCATTAAAATCCCTCCAGTGGTTTTTCCGTGACACGGTAACAGACATAAATTATAAACATAAACAGACATAAAATTCTAAAAACTGTAGATTCGGCCTCTGCATCGATAATAATGTCTATTTAAATAAGATTTTATAAAAAGTAATATTTAATGTACAGATTCGGCTTAGTTACAATTTTATTATATGTATAGATGTTTGTTTGAGAGATTTTATCCTTATCATAGACTCTATCGATTAATTCGATAAAATAGTCACGATGCACTTTTTTGTATTTTTATTTGGTTCGATTCCTGTGTCAGGTAAGCTTTTATTTTAAATGCAGTTATTAGGTATTATTTTTTAAAAATAAAGAAATGTTTCCTTTGAGTAAATCTTGATAACTTCAATATTTAAAGTACTTTTCTTCCATGTCACATCCATTTGCTCCACGAGGTATAGAAAATGCGTAAAAAATTAAAGTTAATATGTATTTTTATAAGAACATTTTTATCGTTTACACCTTTTTATCGTTTCTTGGCCACAATCAATACACACTCATAGCTTTCAACATGCGTGTTCTCGGAATAATATTGTTATTCTTATTCACGTCATTTAAAACTATAAATAACGAAGAATTTTTAAAAAGTACTTTAACAACTGCTTCAGTTCGTCCAAGTACATCTCAGAAGCCTACAACATTGTATAGAAGAATTAATGTGCAAGATGGAATTTGGAGTGCTTCCTTAGATTTCAATAGATTTATGGATGCTAGACGAAAAAAGAGCAACAATAACAGTAAGTAGCTGGTATTAGGATAAAAAGGTAACGATTGCCAGATGTATTTTCCCATGAAAACAAAAGATTATGTATAATACTTTCTTAGATTTACGCGAATATTTGACATTTTAAATAAAACTATCTGTTCGGATTTTTTCGCGGATTTATTTGCATTTTTGTTTCCCGACGTTTCGAATGCTTTACAGCATCCATGGTCACGGGAGAGACTGGTCTCTCCCGTAAAGATAGTTTTATTTAAAAAGATTATGTATATTAACAATGCTACTAAAGATTTTTATATAATAAATTGATGAATTTTTTGTATGAAGCACAACTCGGCCGAACCAGTAATTGTTGTAAAAAAAATGAGAGATTTTCCTGCAGTAAAAGGTATCCTAAACGTTGAACCCGAGTAATAATTTGTCGCTATATAAGATTTAGTTAAAAGCCATTCAGTTCTTTTTGTGTGAATTGCAGACAGAATAGAAACAAACACAAAAAAATCAATAACGATTATTTTGGGGTCTATATTGCAATACATAACTTTGTTACTACATATTTTATTATACGTATAGATTACATAAAGGCGTCTGAATGTTAAATACATAGTATATCGGAGTTTCAACACTTATGTTTTAGAAAATTCATTCTTAAGCAATTTGGATACTTGGTGTCAATTTCAACCAAAAATAGGAAACTGTGAAAAATCTTTACAAAAGTAAGTAACTGTATAAATGTTTATTTTGTAATAAGAAAAATATCTAAAATATATTTTAAATTAGGATAATTCAAACCTGCTTTGCATTGCAGATTTTATTACGATTTACAATTACATCATTGTGTGCCATTCAACTATAGCGGGTGTGGTGGCAACAGAAATAATTTTGAGACACTTGCAGATTGCGAACAACTTTGTAATGGTGTGTATTACAAGACAGTGAATAGATTGCCTTAAAATTAAATAGCTAAACTTTCAGCTTTTTATCAGTTACAAAATTGATATTTACACACAAGATTTTACAATTTACGTAAATAGAAATGTAAAGGCTCGCTTGTGCAAAATCGCCAATTTCCAACACTTCAGCCTTTGTGAGGTTTTGACATATACGTATTCTTATAAGAAAAGGACTTTTTATGCTGACATTTTTGCTCTACAGTGTAGAGTTTGCTGTACACTATACCTACACATATCTCCGCTTGAAAAATTGATACACATGTTATAATGTATTTGATTACGAATAATATTTTCGGGTTATCCATTATTGAGTACAGATTAGATCACCAATGTCTCACAGAATGTAGAAGACACGACGTTAAAAAAAATTGTCTAGAAGATTTTGATCTTACAACCTTAAATCTATATATAACGGCTTTACCGATTTCATTCATCTTTTTTTTTAAATGTTTTCTATTACTTCGTAGAAGGTTCTTACATTAAAAAAAAATTAAGAAAATATCGCAGAAACTTAGAAATATGGGAATGAATGGGATTTGTATTGGGAAGCAACATAATAATATGGAGAGTAAATGTAATTTTAAATATTATTGCTATTATTTACGTTATGTATTTTATATTTTAGGTGTTTTCAGTTATTCAGTTGAACAAGCAAGTTATAAAACTATTTGTATGTTACAACCCCAATCGGGGATGTGTATGGCGATGATACCAAAGTAAGCCCATTTGATCTATTAAATTTTATATTATTTGCTATATAAATATAAATATTTTATAAAGTTGATGATAATACTTTCAGATATTACTATGATACCAATGAGAAAACTTGTAAAAAGTTTATATATGGTGGCTGTGGAGGAAACTTGAATAAGTTCGATACTTTTTCCTCGTGTCTAAATGCGTGCGGGGATTCTGATTTCTGATTAATACGATATAATTAAGAATTTTATTCCAAACTAGCATTGCCCGCGGCTCTGCCCGCGTTCAGATGACCAAAAACCAAATTCTAACATATACCAATTTCATTGCGCACCGCATGATTGGTCAATAATGGCGGTGATTGACAATGCCATAAAGGTTTTTGTTTTAACAATAACATTTATAGTATGTCTATGCTTCTGTTTTGTTTATTTGTTTAGTTTTAGGGGGTAAACTCTCAAACCAGTAAATGAATTTTAATCATTAATTGCTAAGAGACAGCTGTTGATTAATTTATATTTAGCTGATTTTTTAAATAACATAATAATAACTTTTCTTAATGTTGATTTGTCGCGAAACAGGGACCCACCCCTAGTGCCAGTAAATAATATTTTCTGAAACAAAAAATTTCAAAAGAAAGTGTTGGGGAAAGTGACAGTTCCAATGGTATATGATTAAGGTAAATAAGTAAATAATCTTAAGCATTTTTTTTAATTTCATGTATTCCCTTTTTAACGTCCCACAGCTGGGCGCGGGCCTCCCTTCAATACGAGGGCGATCAGGTCATAGTCCACCTCGCTGGCCAAGTGCGGCTTGGCGGACTTCACGTTCTTTCGAAAATTTGCTAGGTTTTCTCACGATGCTTTCCTTCACCGTGTTATCATGTGGTAATCATGTTAGAAATAATTCTCACATAAAATATCAGAGGTGCGAGACCGGGGATTTGAACCCGCTTCACTCGGTTTTTTAAACGCGCGGTACCACTGGGCTACCACTTCATTATTATTTCATATGGCTCGCCTAATATGATTAAAGTCATAAAGCTTTATATTGCGTCCTTTAAGCCTTCTTTCAAGAAATGCTGTCAAAAAATCTAAAAAGTTGAGGTATAACAGTTTCTAAAATACTTTTATCGAAAATTATCTTGCAGAATATAGGTTTCGTAGTGCTTGAGATATGTAATATTCTTATTTAACACACTTTGTTAGTTTAACAACCACAAACTTGTTTTCCATATAATGTTAAAAAATAACATGAAACGAATTTATTTTTACGGTTGATAAAATGAGTCGATATTGTGCAAACGTAAATATTTGTTATTCGTATTTATTTTAGTGCTAGCCTAATATAACACGTAAGTAGGAAAAACAACAACAAACTAAATAATTTTGCAATATTTCTTGATTTTGCTTTCAATTGATTTCGATTTCTAAAACGTATATATTCTATAATACTTTCTTTGATTTACGCGAATATTTGACATTTTAAATAAAACTATCTTTTCGGATTTTTTCGCGAATTTATTTCTTATTAAATACCCACAAATTACCTAGCTAGGGTAGGCGGTCTGTAACAACTATATAATACTTTTGAGGCATCTTATACCTTAGTCTCTCCCGTGACCATCATTGTTGTAAAGCATTATAGCACGTATATATTCAGAAAATATAAGTATATATAAACACAAGTTTATATATACAGGGAATCTGAACCGATAATGGGGACAAGGTCTTATTTCCAATAAAACAGTGTTCAGTCGACATTTTTTCTTTTTCCTAACGCTAGCAGGTATATGATTAACATAAAAATGGTGAATTCATTCATTCATCGATTCAGAATGAAAATATATATTAACCACTCTTCTTTATTTTTTATACTATTATATTAATAATATATTAATTTTTAAAATTTAATTAGTGTAATTTTAAAAATATATTATTTAAAAATGTATAAATTTACGATTTATTTGTCCAATGTAAAAGTAAATAGATTATTTATTCGGCCAATGAGTTTCCATAATTAAAGTAATTTATCGCGGTTAACCTAATTGAATTGTATCTATCGAGGTGAGCCGCAATCTGTCAAGCTTTGGTTCAGCAGGTGTGATCCATTCTGAGTGACTTTTTGTTTTATTATTCTGGCACAATCGTTTTCCTAGATAGATAAATTATTTTGTCCATCTCTAAAAGATATGTGTCAATGATAAAATAAAAGATTCCTTTGAAAAGAAAATATCAATGTTTTAAAGAAATAAATATTTAAACATTTCCATTATGAGAAATGTGTAAAAGTCGTATTGGGAATATTAAATACTAGCAGTTCACCCTTGATTCGGTCGGATTCATCCCTGGGTACGTTTTAACGATTAGTATAGAATAGATAGACTATGTATTATATAACGTGTTTTTCCGTGGGAACGAGATATCTCCCGCGGTATAAAGTAGCCTATGTCACTCTCCAGACCAATCCGTCACTCCGTTTGGACGTGAAAGAAGGACAAACAAACAAACTTTTACATTTATAATATTAAGTATCGAAGAATGGATACCAAAATCCAATATACTAGTATCATACCTGCCATACTATAATAAATACACAAATCCTGTGGATTGACTGGCTTATTTATTTATTGACGACGCGTGTGGCTCGGTTTGTAGTGACCCTACTTGCTGTGCCAGCGGTTGCGGGTTCAAGTCCCGCTGGGGGGGTTCATTTGTGTGATGAGTGCGAATGTTTTTACTCCTGTCATGGGTTTTTATATTTATAATATGTATCTATTTAAAGTTATGTACTATCTGGTATCCATAACACAAGCCTCGTAGCTTAACATGGAACTAGATGGTGCGGTGTGTTAATGTAACAACATATTATTATTTATGTCGACAATAAAAATTAAAATATGTTCCATAGCTACAATATGACATTAGGTAAATGAGGAAACTAAAAATCTTTGTAAAAGTTCCCACAGTTTAAACTTTAGTCCGGAAAATTCTTTGTCTATATTTTATTTGAAGTTAAAAATAAAAATATGAAAGCTCGGTTGGCGGACTAGCAATTACTGGGGGACCCGGGCTTAATCCACGTTCTGACGAAGAAAAAGTCCCCTAATTAATAGTCGAGCTGGATTAATTAGCGAAGACATGCCGAGCTCTTACTATTTAGTTTTTTTTAGTTTTTTGATAGATGAAATTAGTTCCACAGTACGAATTAATCAAAAAATATAGTTTTGTACGTCCACTGCGCATTTTGGATTAAACTTTTATTTCTCCATTAAAAGTTTTTCCGAATTTTAATTTTATTGGAAGAGAAAATTTTATGGTAGATTTAGTGTTTTATTGTAAAATCTATGTAATACTAGTGAGTCCAACTCAAATCATGTTAAGCCACCTATCCCTCGGGAACCCTTCCTTTTCAAAATAAAAAAAAGTATGTAACTTAAACATTTTTTTTTAACTCCTGGTGAATGTCCTACAAAAATCTATTACAACTTTGTTCCTCGACTATACGAGTATAATACTTATCCTCCAGCTATTTATTTTTCCTGGCATCAATAGTAGCTCACCTGAATTCTTTATTAGTCAGTGAAATAAACTAGTTCAACTGTTTATAAGATTAGCGAGAATAAACAGATAGAGATAGAGTAATATTGTTCAATATTTATTTGAGTCTGAGTCGCCATCTTGCAATATTCATATAAAATTTAATATTTGAAATTGTAGACACTTCAATTTTACTACATAACGAAGAAGCTTTTGTCGTTATTTGGAAAAATACGAAAAGCAACTTAAATCTAATGATCCCAGTTACATTTTCAGTGTAGTGGTAAAATGTTTTAAACCTGTTATTAGTCTTTATCAGATTGGTTTAAGCCATCAACATGGAGATTGGAGGGAGGGTTTACGGCGTTGCTGCTCTCAGATTTTTTAGTGTCGCTTCGGGCGCTTTTGCAGTGTCAGTAATTGGAGTCTAATTTATCGCGTGCTGCCGCGAGATTTATTGGCAAAGGATAAAGACTGTTTCTGTACTCATACAAATTGTGAGCCTTCTGCGATAAGGTTTTATAGTCGCAAAATACGCGTCGTAACAGTAGATATTTACGGGCTGTTGCGCAATGCAGAGTACTGTGTCATTTCTTTTTTTTTTACAATAAAATGTTTATATGAATTTTTAAAAGTATGTAACAGTTGTTCCTACTACAGCGAGAGATAACAATTGTGAATTAGATTTATAGCGCAATTTTAGTACTTTTGCGTATTTTAATAAAAACTTATGAGCAAGTTTTAAGGTTTTAGTACAGAGTTTAGTAGAGCAACAAATTTTATTAACAATGATACATAAATAATTACAAGAATATACACAAAATATAAAATATAGCTAAGTCAATCACCCACCCGATCAATTTAAGTCAATCGCCATCGGCATTTTCGAAACAAAGAGAATCGAATTTACGGTTTTATTATCTGCTTTTGGTCGTAATTCTTATCTTCCTTTATATTTAGAGCCGGCAATGGCCTGTAAAGTGAAGAAATGTTTTAGAGCGTTGAATATCTTCCCGTAATACTTGACTGTTGTGACCGATGTGTAGGATTTAAATTTTCTGCATCTTATTTTTCTGCCGCCTGAAATACGCAAGATCCCTTTGCTTATATAAAACAAAATGACAAAAAACTATAACGATTCTAAGGCTTGATATTTACATGTCCTTACCATCTCGTATCGCATCTCTTCGTTGATTCGTTCACATAAATCGGTGGGTATGTCGTTTTCTGTTACGTCTTGCAATACATATTTTAGTTCAGAAGTCCTAAAACAAATAAACGAAGATATTATAAAATAAATACTTTTTTGTATTCGTTTTCTTTATGATTAAAAAGAGTACCGGCAAATAGCTTTAATATTTCATACGAATAGTTTTTAAAATGTAAATATAAAAATGTAGCAAACAAAGTTTACATTAAAGAAACATTTTTGTAGATTGAAGTAGTAGGTAAGCTATGTTCTCCCACAACGTGCGTTTACCTTGTCGTAGTGGGGGAGCTCAGTAGTGCCCGGCAATACAGCTGGGCGCGAAGCCAAGAAACGCACAGGGAGGTGGCCCGCTTCGGTGGGCGGTGGGAGGCGGCCCTCTTCGGAGGGCGGTGTACCAAACGGGTTACTCCTGGTACTTTTCTGACGGCAGAGTGGACCGTTGAAGCAACCCCGTGGTTGTTATGGTCTGCTTCGGCAGACCTGAAGTCAGGGCGTCGTGGTTGAGTGCGTAAATCCTCATTAAGACCGATGAGGTTTTTTTGGGTTTTAGTGGGTAGTACTGGCTTTTCTAACCGGTGATTCCTACATAAACACCTGTATGTCTACGGGTGGTATGCGTAAAGGAATTTTCCAATATTAAAAGCAAAAGCCAGGTAGTAAACAATAATGTTACGGGAACGAAGTCTATTCCAGCAACAATATTTGTATTGATGACCTACCTTTACGTGCACTATACGTTATAATGAACGTGTCGTAGCCAGGTTAGGCCAACTATTTCAAAAAGTAATTAGTGCTCAACAAGCCATCAACCGAAGCCTCTTTTGTACTGACTTATAATTGAAATATGTTATAATTACACTTTTAAGAACAAAGGTTTTACTATTAAAATTTTTCACACACAATTAATTACACTTTATTAAGCAACATTTTTCATTATTAGCAACGAGCCCAGTAACAAGTCATTTTATTTTAATCGTATAGATATTATCTTGAAACTGACATAGAAGAATTACAACTGAAGTAAAAATATATAAATATATTCTTAACGCGTTGTGACAATATTGAAAACGTTATGAATACTAATCAAAATGTTGATAGTAAGTATAAAGTAAATTTCTTAGTAAAAACCTTTAAAAAAATCTTTAGTTAAAACCAAAAATAATGTTACTAGTGTTTAAATTACGTTATAGGTTAATTTCGCTGCCAAAAGTACATAAAGATTATATAGATAATTATACCTACTGATATTATAACGAGGAAAGCTTTTAAATTTGGATGCAGAAATAAATGTATGTTAATAACTATGAAGCCTAGGACAGAGATAGACAGCGCTGGATTCACTAGAGTGCCCAGGGCAAATTTTTAGGGTCGGCAAAATTCGGAGGTCAGAAAAAAATTTTTTTCGCGTTATCGAAAATGCTTTATTTTCCAAAAAAAAATAATAATAATAAAAAAATATTAGTACATTTTTCGAAAAATTGAAATCATTTATAAACAATTTTTTTGCATTTTTCAAAAATTTTATAATTAAAAAAAAATGTAACTTTATCGAAACTTTACCCATTTTATGCAAAATTTCGATAATAGGGCGGCATTCTTTGTAATTCCCAGGGGCGGAGCTAAGGTTGAGTCCGATACTGTAGATAGATAAATGTGGAAGACTAAAATAATTTTTAATTTTAATATTATCAAACAAACACAATTTCTTACTGTATATAAATAAGCATGTAAGCGCTAGTGGACCGTCGTGCTAGATATGGTGCGTCCTCCTTTCCACCGAAGTTATACTCTATGGCTTCTTGTTTGCTGCACCGAGATACTACATCGTCGTCAAACTTGAACCACTGAAATGTCGTCTATTGAAGTAATTTTCTACTTATGCTTTAAATTATAACTTAAATAAATTGTACTTTTATGAGTTCAAAATTATAATTCATAATAATCTAAGTGATTTAACTAGAAATATCTATACTTATAGTAAAATTCCAACTGAGATATTTTCATACAACAGTAAACATAAACTATCTTGAAAATAGACAATAGTCTTCCTGATAAAATTTATGTCACATCCGTCTTACGTAATCTAGCCTATAAGGGAGGGATATGATCGTGCACAAGTGTGTGCGGAAACACAAGTACACTCTCTTCTTATTCTAACACTGCACACACAGATGGAGAATATTTGGAAATTTCTTGTCAGAAAATCGATTTTTTTTGCATTGATTTTTTTAAACGTTTAATGCACTAGACGTATGCAATTCTGTTAACCCCACGTTTTACTATACAACGTGGAATAAAATGTAAACTTTAACCTACTTGACCGATCAATCAATGTTGTTACGAGTTGTGTGTTTAAATTCAATCTATATCACTTTTTCAGAAAGTACTCAATACACATTTTTATGCAGAATACTGAAATCGAAATTTAAAAAAAAACATATATTTTTGCAGACTATACCTTTCCATCGCCCTTGGGGTTGACAAACACAACATAATGCCCGCCGTGATTATCACCAGAGTGTACCAACACGGCGTGTAAGGTATAGTGAGCGGGGTTCTTAGGTATTTCTTGTAGGTAATGATCTAGATTGATCTCTTCATAAAACTCAAATCTAAAATTAGTAATAGCTAGAAAATATATGTTTGGTATTTAAAGCTTAATGATTAAAATTTAAAGGTTATTTTACACAAGAAGCATTATTCTACGATTATACATCATAGAAAAAACGGTTATGTAACGGATGCTAGTATAGCCCATATTAAATTTTCAATAGCATAATAGTCTCACTATTATGAAGACGTAATTTTATTTTACAAGCCCTGAAATCTCGTAACAGATTTAAAAAAAATATTTTACTAATAAAACGCCACATTATCCTTGAGGAAGATAGATTTTTTTCTTCTACATACCACGCGCGTATACTATAACTACATTATAAAAATTCCTGAGATACATGAAAGCACAATGAAATAGAGCTCTGTGAACGCTACGCTTATCGATAATAATTTTAAATAACTAAATGCTTTTCATATTAACAAAATTAGTCTTGGTCTGCTTTGTAAATGTGAAGATGCGGTTTACCGATCATTAAATTTAATAGAGGCATCACTCTTGGGATCGTATTGGAATCTCATTAAGTGCAAATGTAGTATAGGCGGAAACACATCAAATCGGACTCCTTTCTCTGCCTCTTGTAGGCCATGCTCTCCAGCGTCATACTTGTTTTCACCATCAAGTAATTCTATGCTGATGTAATCTTTAAATGATTCATAAACTGAAAAAATATCTTGACGATAATAAAATCAAAAATAATAACAACATATTTGGACATTAACACACAACACCATCTAGTACCATAGTAAGCTACGAGGCTTGTGTTATGGGTACCAGATAGTTGTTACACTATACATATTATATAACTTTAAATACATACATATTATAAATATAAACGCCCATGACTGGAGTACAAACATTCGTGCTCATCACACAAATGAATGCGGGACTCGAACCCGCGACCGCTGGCACAGCAAGTAGGATCACTACAAACTGAGCCAAACGTGTCGTCAATAAATATAACTAAATCATTTGTAATGGGAATCCATGTCAATGGTAATGTTCTTTGTTGTGTGGCTTATTGGCGTGCCATTTGGGCACAATTTACTTCGCCAATGTCGTGTAGAAAATGGAAATCCAATTATTGATAATATGAAAAATAAGCATGTTTTTACGAGTATATGTGACCGCGGGGTTAGAAAAAAAAATATCTAAAGGAAAAAAAATGATTGGGCTTGTTGTTCATCAAGATTCAATATTTTATTATAAAGAAAACTATATTTTATAACAAATTAGAAATATTTTCACAGTAAAAATACATAACAATGCGAATAAAAAGCAATCTTATTAAAACATCGCAAATGGACAAAAAGAGTTTAGATATTTTTGCTTCAATATTATAGTCGCAGCATTTCTTTCCTTTGCCTTTTATAATGTCCCTTTGAAGATAAATGAAATTTAAATGTGAAACGGAACGTTTAATTGACCCATAGCCATTGTACATTTAACTAAATTTATATTTTGTACTGTTCCAAATTTGTATAATTTGATATGAAAAATATATAATACTAGCGGACCCGACAGACGTTGTCCTGTCTACACGTCTTTAATTTGAAAATTTCATACTTTTTTTAATAATTTTTTTGATGAAAATTATTATTCAAATTGTGAATCTAAACCATTCTCAGATCCCCTTGAACACACACAAAAAATTTCATCAAAATCGGTCCAGTCGTTTGAGAGAAGTTCAGTGACATACACACTCACAGAAGAATTATATATATAAAGATTTTAATAACTTACTATTATTTTTTCCCTTAACGCTAAGTTGAATATCATAAAATGTTTCGACACGCGTGCTCGTACAATTTACATTCTTACATTTGATGAAAGATGTCATTTTCCCTTCAAACAGTTTAGGCACTGTACCTTCTACTACAGTACCTTTCATCTTATTTTCTAGTTTATCTAAAAGTACCTGTAAATTATATGTACATACATCAAAATCAACATAATAACTTTAATATTACGAAAAATTTTTTTATCTCATATTAGCCTTGTAAATTTTGTATAAAAATACATAAAATATTACTAGTATATTCAGCTCAATACATATTTATGTGATAAATACAATAAAACATATTAAAATATTTACTCGTAAAAATTCTTGTACATCATGTTGCATGAAAGAGTCCAGCGTTTCCCAACCAAAACTTTTAGTAAGTATCTTAGTAGCGACAGGTTTGTCCAAAAACTGCAGATCGTAGAAAACTCTTTGAAGAGCAAAAGCAACTGATCTAGAACTATTATCTCCTACAGTAGGTATTTTATAAACTGCCTTACGAAGTACATTAGTAAAGAATAAAGTTTGTAATAGAGAATTCATATAACACGTAGCGCCTTGATTTTTGAGGCCTGAAAGGATATGAAATATTCAATGAAAATTTAATATTACGTGAATAGATTTTTCGTAGTAAATTAATTGTACGGCTTATATAACCTATGTATCCAGTATGTTTCTTAGAGTCCCAAGAAACCCCGTGAGGAGCTTCTGCTACAACGTGCGCTTCAATAGTTATAGAATCGTCTTTCACGAAGCCATTATCGGGATCCAATAATTCCTTCCAAGATATGAAATGCGCAAATCCCCAATCATCTTCTTTGCTAATGAGTAAAACTAAATTCATTATTGTTGTTTATAAAAAATATTGTTGGACCAAGATACTACCTATTAATATAATATTGGTTTCATCTTAGTGTACGGTACTTTTCGTATATTTTATATTTATTATTGACTAGCGAATCACCCTCGCTCCGCTCGGGTTCGTCTCTGGTTACGATTTAACGTTTAGTATAGATTTTTAGAGATGAGATATTTTCCTGAGTAAAAAGTATTCTATATGTTGAACCGGATAACCCGCTATCAACAAAACAAAATTCATCAAAATCCCTCCAGTGAGTTTTCTGTGATGCGGTAACAGACAGATAGACAAAAATTCTAAAAACTGTATATATTCGGCCTTTGTATCGAGAATAATGACTATTTCAATAAGATTTTCCCCAAAATATTTAATGTAGAGATTCAACTCAGAATTTTATTATATGTATAGATAAATAATTTTGTACATATATATTTAATACTAGCATTGCCCGCGACTCCGCCCGCGTTCAGATGACCAAAAACCAAATTCTTAGGTTTTACATATTAGTATACTCTTACATTGTAGTTTTTGTATTTATTCTCAGAAATGAGACATTTTCCCGCGATAAAAAGTATCCTATATGTTGACCTAGATAACCAGCTACCACCATATCAAATTTCATCAAAATCCCTCCAGTGAGTTTTCTGTGATGCGGTAACAGACAGATAGACAAAAATTCTAAAAACTATAGATTCGGCCTCTGTATCAATAATAATGTTTATTTCAATGTGATTTTCCAAAAAATATTTAATGTACAGATTCGGCTTAGTTACAATTTTATTATATGTATAGATGAAATGATAACAGTAAATTCACAACACTAACCAATGATACATATGATGTAATTTTCTACACAAATGTTCTCCATCAGGCTTGTACGAGAGGAGTTTTAATTCTCCCACGCCATAACAAGACCATCCTGGGGAATCGCAATCCCCGTTACATTGAAGGAAAATTCCCAAAGCCTTTTGAGGTTGACGATCCGGGGTTGTAGTATTCCGAATGAGCACTAGAATCTTCCATGGCAAGCATCTCACATAACACGGCGGAGATAAAACTTGCTCTTTGAGCTGGCTAATATTTTGGACAGTGAACCGAAAGGTCGCCTCAGGTCGGGCAATATCTTCGTCTTCTTTCTCAATTTTCTAGAAGTTAGAAATGTATTTTAATGGCACTAAGTGCCGTTTTTTAATGTTTAAATTATTATTAGTCTATTATTATTACTAAAATTTTGCTTTTCTAGAATCTGATATTACATTACATATAAAATTGCGTGTACTGTGATATTTGCAGTTATATTATGACATTTGCTCACGCAAGTCGCAAATATTAAAGTAATAAAACAAAAGCTCACTGTGTTGGCTTGCAGTGTATCGGCTGTTGCATTTTCCACACTGTCGGCTTCAAGCATTTTCCAGCAATGTGGTTGAACTATGAAAAATAAATCGTCGGTTAAATAACGAGAGCTTTTCATTTAAATATTTTATTGTCCGTTTTAATATATTTCTTACCTCACTTTTTATTACAATACATAATGGTTATTATCAAAAAATAAATAATTTTACAAAAGTGTTAAGCCGATGACATGCGTATCTGACATATTGATTTTCGCATGACAATTGCCTTATTCTAAATTTGAATAATCACAATTAGTGATAGAAACTACTATGGTTTTGCAATAATATTTTAATTTAACTTTTACTTATTATTCCAAATATCCATAACCATAGTCATATTATAAATGTGAAGGTGTGTTTGTTTGTTTGTTGTTTGTTTGTTTGTTTGTTTGTTTGTTTGTTTGTTTGTTAGTTTGTTACGGAACTCGAATCGTCGCATCAGCTTTGCTCTACAAACCTCGCGCGGCGACGACAAGACAAGGTCAGGCGCAAGTGCAAGCGCAGCAGCCACCTACATTTTATCAATGCCAATGTCTCAACTTCCTACAATAATGTAGTATAAAAGGCATTACTTGGCTGCATCTTCACTGATTTGATCTAACATCGATCGACAGTCACTTTAGTAGTAAGAAATTTTAGTTAATAAATTAGTTTTAAGTAAATTTGCATTTCTTTGCATCCCTGGCTGCCTCCAAAAATATAACTGGCGCAGTCGGTAGGATAGCCGTAACGTAGAGTCAGTGAATCGTTCACCGATAGCGGCTATCTTCGAACCTACGGGAGTTGCGGCTGGCGGAGTATCCAAAAATTGATACAGCAGAGAGATACAAATTATTTGGTGAGTACCTAGATCTTACAAGAGTTGCTTGCCTCTCCTATCTATAATTTTCCTTTTTCCTATTATTAGAATACCGCAAATCGATGCGAATAGGGAATTAGGAAATATTTTAGACAATAGAAATTATTGATTTATTATTAAATTTTTTTTGTGTTCCTTTTATTTTTAAAAATTTTCAAAAAAAATACGCGGTCCAGTAGTTAAACCTCAAGTTAATAGAAGGCCTATGAATCCACCCTTATTAAATTTATAAAAGATAATCACATCACATAGAACATCTCTTTAGTACCTATATAATAATTCTGCACGTAATAAGAGAGGTCTCATTGACGGTCTAGATCCTAATATATATATTTAAAAGAAAACCCAGTATCCTAGATTACATATCCACATTTAAAATTGTCTTACTAAGCACGATATGAATCAAAATTAGAATTAGCATTAAAAAATAATGTCAGTCTAATTTATTATATATCTTTCAAAATTCTTTCTTATCATATGTAGATAAATAGCTAATGAAATCCTTTATATAACATTTTGTCATTTTGAAACTAGACTAGCAGTTAGTAATGGTTATATAAATATATTCTAGCTATGGTTATATAAATATATTTTGCCCTTTGACTTCTAAATCCCCTAATCTTAAAGAATCCATGTACCTACATTTCATCCTTACCTTATATGATCTGTGCCTTTACCTTACCCTTTAGCACTCTCTAGCTAAGATTATAGGTATATAGAGACAGAATGTCCGAAGAAATTGATATCTCTCTGCAAGTCGAAACCTGTATGGATTTATAGACCCAAGATACGAACAATATCTCTCTCTACAGCAGTCATCCCACTGAAATGCCACCGACCACATCACTAATCGCTACGCTGTTGTACCGCTAGCTACGCTAAAGAGATGAAACCAACATTATAGTAATCTGAAAATCACAGCAATGGCTCTGAAACCACAAATAAGAGGGCCGATCACCGACCATCAGCTCCGACAGCGACCATCTTGGACAAGTCCTGCAATAGTCGCTGTTCTACGGGGGGAGGTGTTACGGAACTCGAATCGTCGCATCAGCTTTGCTCTACAAACCTCGCGCGGCGACGACAAGACAAGGTCAGGCGCAAGTGCAAGCGCAGCAGCCACCTACATTTCATCAATGCCAATATCACAACTTCCTACAATAATGTAGTATAAAAGGCATTACTTGGCTGCATCTTCACTGATTTGATCTAACATCGATCGACAGTCACTTTAGTAGTAAGAAATTTTAGTTAATAAATTAGTTTTAAGTTAATTTGCATTTCTTTGCATCCCTGGCTGCCTCCAAAAATATAACTAGTTCGTTCGTTTGTTTGTCTTTCTTTCACGCTACAACAGAGTGACAGATTGGTGTATGTTTTTGCGTGAAGATAGTTGGAGGGCTAAAAAGTGACATAGGCTAATTACCGCGGGAAATTATCTCATTCCAACTGGAGAACGCTTTGAAACTTACAACACAACCAAAAAAAAAAAATATTTCTAGTCAGCAGTACATGAAACTTAGTATTAATGCTCTTCGATACAATTAAATAAATAGGGGTTTAAATATTTTTCGAAAATCATTCCATAAGGGGATAAAATAGGAGATTTTAGAGATTTTTTTGTAGTTTTAGCGCGAGCGAAGCCTCGGGTTCTGCTAGTATTATATACATATTTTCTTTATAACTCATCTTTAGATTAACACGTTTCATTTAACGCATTTACAAATTGAAAGTATTTACTAAAGATATATATAAAAAAATAATAAATTATTTATGAAACTTCGTAATGTCTAATCTATACATATAATAAAATTGTAATTAAGCCGAATCTGTACCTTAAATATTTTGTGGAAAATCTTATTGAAATAGACATTATTATTTATTATCAATGCAGAGGCCAAATCTATAGTTTTTAGAATTTTTGTCTGTCTTTCTGTCTGTCTGTTACCGCATCACGGAAAAACCTCTGAAGGAATTTTGATGAAATTTTATATACGTAATGATAACTGATTATCCGGATCAACATACAGGATACTTTTAACTGCGGGAAAATGTCTCATCTCTGAAAACTATACTAAAAGTTAAAACGGAAGTAGGGACAAACCCGAGCGGAGCGAGGGTGAGTTGCTAGTAAATACTAATAATTCAGCGCTGCGACAATTGTGATAGTACAAAGGCAAAAACAGTTTCGAAACTGTCCTCGTCTTTCTACGACATAAAAGAAAATGACTGATTCTATCTCATTGTTGCTAACTAAATTACAAAATTTTATGCAATAAAAGTTACAAATTTGGAAAATAAAAAACCTACTCAAACAACGGTAGGGTTTTAATTATTGAAAGTATGATACTCTGTTATAGCAGACCTTTTTTAAGTTCCAAGAAAGCTTTATTAAGTAGCAAAAATTAACATAAAATTTATATTATTTTTTGAAGAAACTTCTAATTGATGATAAGACAGCGAACATAACTTACACACGGTTATTATTTTTCTATATTATAAAATCTTGCAAGCGGTTATTCTCTGCTCAGCAGATATTAATTAAATCCCTAGTCATCACGAGAAGATATTATTCAATGTTCTGTACATTGACAGACAGACGCTGAAACCCTTAATTAAAATTTCTAAACAGCCTTTTATTAAAGACAAATTATGCAAACATATTAATTATGAAGGCTGACATTATAATGAGCGCTTTGGAAATGAGACAAAGAGACGAAATATTTATATAGATATTAATATTTAATTAGTAGTACTGAAGTTGTATGTGTTTAATTGAGAATTGAATAAAGGCTATATAGACTAAGCAATTCGTATTGTATTTCCATATATTTGTTTCTAATTAAACGGTTTTAAATTATGTGTTTGAAGAAATTTATGAATACGTTAAGTATTACTAGTATATATGTAGGTACCGTCTATGCCTAATATCACTTTGGTTTTCCCAAGCGGATGTCTTTGACTTGGTTTGGTGATATCGATAAGATAATTACTCATCGTCGGGTACATATCTTAATTATCGCTAAAATTAGGCTTCGAACCAAAATAAACTATGTCTAACCTATAAAGATAACGCTACAACATTAAAATATGACTATTTTTTACCGAAGGATACTCTAATAAGTCGAAATACAAAGCATCTTAAAGTAAGTAGATAGATAGAATAGTAAGAAGATAGAGTATATCTAATATTTGTTTATTCAAAAACTAGCGACTCACCCTCGCTCCGCTCGGGTTCGTCCCTACTTACGTTTTGACATTTAGTATAGATTTCTCGCAGATGACATATTTTCCCGTAATAAAAAGTATCCTATATGTTGACCCGGATAATCAGCTATCATCATACCAAATTTCATCAAAATCTATATAAAATGGGTTTCTCGTGATGCGGTAACAGACAGACAGACAAAAATTCTAAAAACTATAGATCCAGCCTTTGTATCGATAATAAAGTCTATTTCAATAAGATTTTCCAAAAAATATTTAATGTACAGATTCGGTTTAGTTACAATTTTATTTAATGTATAGAAGAGAGTAATTTTACTACCAGCGCCTTAGAAGGTCTACATGCAGTCATAGTTTGAAGAAAACATTAGTACTTAGACTACGTTAGAGAAATAGAGCAAGGCAATACTGAAAAAATAAATTAGTATCATTAATCACCCAGTAACTGAGATAGTGGTGATTATATCAGCTTTATTTATAAGGTACTAATTTTTGTTGTTTTATAAGTGTTATATTTACTAAATAATATGTCATTTATGTCTGAAAAAAAAATTGCATGTGTGAGTGTATAATGTCAAATTATTTTAGTAATTAAAGGCTATTTTATTTATTTATTTATTTTATTTAACTGTGATAGTTCAGCGAATCAAGTTCTCAGAAAACAGAATATATAATACACAAAGTAATTAAAGCCCAAAAGTAACACAAAAAAGGCGCCTATTAATGCAATCTGCGTAATGAGCCATTGTTCTGACGTCTATATGTTTAAAATGTAGCTGAACGTAATAATAATCAAGGCGCACGAACAAAGGACATTTCCGCACAAAGTAGAAAGGCCTTACGTTGCGAGGCACGTGTATATATGCAAAGTGAAAATAATAGGGAAAAAAATATAGAGGCTGCTAATTAGCGGGCCTTGTTACTGTCTCT